TGTAATCCTATGGCATCATTGAAGTGATTAATTGCTCTGCAAGAACTGGATTGGATATGCTAAGCAAACACTACAATGATGCCATTGGATTTAACATAGTGTTCTTCTTGGTCGAGGAGGAGGTTGAGCAACTGATTTATTCTTGGATGGTCTATCTTTGTGTGTTTGTGTAATGAGAAATTGGGCATGTATGAAATTTACTTTGCTCGGGCTGCTGAAATTTTTGTCTTTGCCTGTTTAATGTTGATCTTTCTTATGGAAAGAAATTTATGTTTACAGAGCTACATGGGGGCAGTTGCCCTTGGATTTGGGAACTTTTTTCTGTAGAAGTGAGAATTCTCTGCTTTGACTCTTCTCTGGGACAGTTTCGGCTGAAAGCTTTTTGTAGCTACAATTATGGCAGATTCTTTAAAGGCAAAAGGTTATAAGCATTGGAATACAATGGGTCGTGAGAAGGATATCCATAATTGTATAATTTGAGAGTCCTCTGCACGATGGATGTGCATTGAGCTTGAAACTCTGTTACCCCATCCACAAAACAAACAGCAATTCTTGGTTTATATTGCGCAATAGGATGCTGCTGCTGAACATGGTGATGTTTGACGGAGGGAAGTGCTGGTGCGATATTGATTTCAAATAGGCAAAATTGAAAGAGAGATGAATGAGAAACATAAATGCAAAAATGAAATAGGTGAAAGGATTAAGAGTGGTAGCCTTCTGTATCAGAGATCCATCTGAAGAATTGCAGGACAATTTTTGCTGGTTTTTTTTTTAAAATCTGAATCATGCAAAAAATCCAATTATCTCTTCAGTTTGTCATTTTTGGATTCTTGCTTTCTTTTTTGCTGGATTCTTGCTTTCTTTTTTCCAAGTGATGATACTAATAAATTCATTTCCCTTTCAAAACACACTTTATCCATCGAGAGTATTTGATGCCAAAGGATCAGGTGCAGACTGATTCGATGAGATATGTGTTGTTGAAAATGGAGAAATAAGTATTGATGAGATGAAAAATATTATTTTTTTGAAAAATGTGTGGTTGAAAATGAGAATTTATTTACTGTTGAAAATGAGAATTGATACCAAACATAGCCTTAATTAGAATCAACAATGTCCTAATTTCAATCAGTTATCAGTATCAAACTAAATCAACTAGTACTCATTAGTTGATTATCAATATTCCACTAGAATCAACACGTTTTCGTCTGTTGATTCTCAATATTCTATTATGAAAGTTACGATATTGACCCAACAAACACCTAGGGGTGAATAGGTGTTTGTATGCGAAATTTAAATTTGTTCATTAATAATAGCAACAAGTTACAATGGCTAATTTTATTAAGATGAATTCACATACGATAATATTCTAAGTTAAATTACCGCAGTTGATGTATTGTATAAAAATAAACAAAATCACGAAATTGTTGATGGAGAAAACCTTTCGCGGGATAAAAACTTCGAGCTCAAGCCATTAGTATACACTATAAACAATAAAGACTTACATACTGTTCTGACTAAACTTTAGTACTTCTTGACCTCATGAATAACTATGTTCAAATGATATGTTAATCGTGTAAATATATCCGCAATGACTAGAGTATACTTATTATTAGTTAACTATTTTTCCTTTTATTGAAATCGTTTTTTTTTTTTAAATATTTTTCCAACAATTATCCTAAAAACCACACGTGATTTTAGTGCACTCGTAGATTGCTTTCAGACAACTAATCCTCACTAAACATGAGAGGGTTAAAATTGTCATTACACTACCCCCACCTAACCCCTATCCACCACTTTATAGTCCTTCTCCTCCCTCTTTTACAAAATTCCTGACCTAACGTTTTTCTTTCACATTTCTAAAAAAAACTCATGGGCAAGAACAAGAAGAATGGAAAGTTCAGCTGGAGCTCTGCCCTGGTGGGGGCGGCGGCCGCTACCGCCGCCACGTGGATGATTTCATCGAAGCCGCGAGACCCCACTTTCTACTTAATTTCCCTTGACCTCACTTCCTTCAAGCTCAACTTCCCGGTGCTCGACGCCGAAATGATCCTGACCGTCCACGTCACCAATCCCAATGTCGTCCCCATTCACTACTCCTCCACGGAGATGTCTATATACTACGAGGGCTCACTCCTCGGCTCGGCTCCTGTGAAGGCTGGCTCCCAGCCGGCCAGGTCCTGCCAGTTGCTACGACTGCCGGCGCGGTTGAGCGGGTTGCAGCTGGCTCAGCACGCCAAGAAGTTCCTGTCGGACGTAGGGCAGCGGGAGATGGTTCTGGACTCGGCGGTGAATATCGAGGGCGCGGCTAAGGTACTGTGGTGGGACCATAAGTTCAAGGTGCAAGTGGATAGTCACGTGACTGTGGATCCTTTGTTTCTTGATGTCATTGATCAGGAAAATAGATCGGAAATGGAAATCTTTGTTACATGATAAAGATAAACATCCACTCCCTGTGTTCGTTATGGCTATGATGGAATTTTTATTTTTATTATTATTATTATTATCTGCGTAGTCGATTGTGCAGCCCTAACGAGGACTTTCCGGTTGCGATGGCTGCAGGGAGAAGGATAGTGAAGAATGTTGTTGGAAAAGGGAAATCATTGTAATAATTAACTTTGAGAATTTATAAATAATTAAAAATGAAATTTTGGATAAGTGAGGAAATGTATGATTACAAATAAATCGTCTATAAATTAGCCAAAACGAGGCTTAACCAATCCTTGTTTCAACGTTACTTAAATTTATTTTTTGAAAAAGCAAATTTTGTTAACCTTTGTTTGATTCAGAAGAGAATTACTTTTTTAATAAATTTTGATAAAATTATAGATTACAAGGAATATATTATTAAAATTAACTGTAGATTTTAATTCAACTTTTTAGATGAATCAAATAATGATCATTATTTTGAGAAAATTGAGTTTTGAACAGTGATTTTATTAGAGAACATGTGTTGGAAAAGTAAGTTTTGAATTTACATGTCAAATATTTTATTGTGTAAATATATAGTTGAAATGATTATGAAAATTAAAGAGTTTTAATAATAATTGTCAAATAGGAGCTAAAACTTCTACTCCATCAGTCCCAATTATATAGGTCGAGTTTCTTTTTTCTCTTATCCCAAATATATATGTCTGTTTCCTATTATAGAATATTTTGTTGTGTTCATTTCCAATATACCCTTATTAAATTTTTTTCATTTAATATGACAACTTCTTTAAATCATCTAAATACACACATTTTCCACTTCTTGNAAATATGTATAATAAAATTTTATATTCTTATTGGACCCTTAAAAACACTAAAAGTAAAATTATTATAGTATGCATCCAACGAGATTATTAATTCTTCTAACAATTTTTCGACCAATGATCTTCCTGTGAGAGATTCTTTGCCATTATATTATATACGTTAGTCGCGCTATGTATGCATTGCTGTTCACCGCCTCCTTTAACACATGACATGGCACCTGATATAAAAATTAGAGTAATGATATTTATTCCCACTGGGATTACAAACACAGTTTAGGTGGCGTTAATGTGGCATTAAATGATAGGTGAAATTAAATGACTTATTTAATTTCACCTTTCATTTAACCTATCATTTAGAGTCACATAAACTGTGTTTGTAACCCCACTGGGGATGAATAACATTACTCTAAAAAATTTGTCGAGTAATAAAAAACATTTTAAATAGCAAAAAACTTTTAAGGTTCCTTTGATAGGATTTTTTAAAAGTAAAAAATTATTTTGAGATCAAATAGTTGCTTAGCTTTTAAACATATTTGGGTAATGTTTTGTCAACTAAAAATGTTTTTAAAGAAAGTTGACCAAATTAAGGGCGTGTCTGGTCCCAATTTTTGCCTTGGAAAATCGATTTTTGCTGAAAATCAATCGGGCCCACGTGATAGATTTGTGGCAGAAAATATGGCCTAGTACCGAGATTGCCGTCATGTGAATTTCCCCTGGTAATGTACTGAAAATAAAACATTGGGCAACAATGGAATTTCCGGACCTGACTCATTCTGTCACTACTGAAAAGGTGGTCTGCCAACATTTAATACATGAAGGTAGTGGGTTAGCAACGGTAACATTTTTGCCGGCAACGGTAACATTTTTGCTTATAATTCAGGCCGAATCCGGACCAGGCACACCCTAAGATAGCTTCTTCGATAATCTATTCTTCAAAAAAAAATAATAATAATAATAATAAGCCAAATGAATGCTTACACTTTTTAAAGATGAACTTTTGCATAACTTATACTTGCAATGTACAATATTTTTAGTTTATTCTATATACTAAGCATGTAAAAATTGTTGATTGATTTAAACTTTAAAGAGATATTATGTAGTTTTTATGAAATAAAACTAATACAATAAATCTTTGAATATGTTTAAAAAGTTGATTCTTTTAAGTTTTTATTATTTATGAGTATCAATTTCTTAAAATATTTAAGAGACGAAGTTATTTAAAATTAATATGTAAAGTGATAGCTAAGCATATGTTTGAGACACATTGTCTCAAAATATATTTTTTCAAAACTCATTTTCAACTACATATTTTTCAATAAAATAATATTTTTCATCGCATCAATAATTTTTCCTTATTTTTTAATCACATACATCCCATCATATCACTATTTAAAATAAATTATTTTTTCAATAATATCCATCAAACACCCCCTAATTAGAAAATAGGAAACGCAATATTGAGAAAGTAAAATGTGTGACACTCAGGTAGGTTTATAAATTATTTCTAAATATCTAATCCTTGTGGTTGGGGGATTAAAATTAATTTTTTAATAAATTTTGATAAAAGCTGATGAAATATATAATTGAAAAGTTGTAAGTTTCATAAAATATGTACTTAAAATTAGTTTTTAATTTTGATTTTAATCCCGAGCTTATTCACTTTTAAATTAAGGGATTATTAGTGTAACTATTAGAAGTTTAAATGACTATTATTATTATTATTATTATTATTATGATATAAAGAAAAAAATACTTCAACAACCATTTTGAAATTTTGTCCAAAACATAATTTTGTCAATTTATTTGACTCCTTCGAGAAAGTAAAGCAAATAAAAAATGGGGAAAGGCAGAATAGTTGTCGTCTCTGCTCTACAGTTCGCTTGCTCCGATGATGTCTCCAAAAACGTCGATACTGCCGAAAGGTACGTTTTCACTTTGACCAAATCAAATCTCTTAGAATTTTTTCGTTTCGAGTCTCAGTTCTCGAAAATCGTGTTTTAATTGCATTTTGAGCTAGGATAGGCACGGCGAAGTAATTAATCAATGTTCGTACTACTGATTTGTAAATAGAAATTTCTGACCTTATTGAGTATTCGTTGTTAAGAACTTTTTGAGTTAAGCTGCGGTACTAAGTTCGAGACAGTACTGAGTAGTATAATAGAGTGAATATCAAAATCGACGCCTTTCCGTTGTACCAAAAGAAGAAAAAAGAAGTAATTTTAATTGAAAGTATGGTGAATTGATGGGACAAGGTGAAATCAATCTGAAATATTGGAAGTTTGATTCTTAGTTGTAATAACGACATCATGGATCCATGGTTATTAATCATCATCCTCATTGCCTTTTCAGATATCAAAAAAATTAATAACTATGCAATGTTTTATGGTTGATGGATGTATATTGCTGGACAGATGCCCTGTAATAGTATCCTCTAACTTTTGCGGATGATTTGTTTCCATAGTTGGTTATCAATCACCCTAAATGCTACTCTCTACTTAAACAAAGAGAATGGGAATAAATTGTTAACGCGATATTTAAGTTCTGAAACATGATCTACAATTCCCTAATAGTTACGTAATTTTAGTTGTGGAGTTTGGATATGGTAAATCTGACAGTAAGAGGAGCTGAGTCTATGATATAGGGGCTGTTAGAAATAATATTAACTCATGTTTCAAATATGAAAAACAAATTGTATTTTCATTGGAATTTTGTGGCATTTGGCATTTGCATCCGGCGTCATTACGAGTGCTTTGATGCAGATTGGTTAGAGCAGCTCATAAGGACGGTGCAAACATCATTCTTATACAGGTTTGTGCTCTTCAAAGTAAAGAATTAGCTTTTAATAGTATTTTGCTATCCACACTCGCATTTCGTTGGTTTTGACGTCTTTACCAGTTCTTTTGGATTTCTATAATTTATTTTCGTATTTTATATCCGCTTAAAGTGTTGACTTTTGGAGGACGTGATGTCATTTGCAGCAGATATCTATTGATGTGATTGAAATGTTGTTTTAAGCACTCAATAAATCTCAAGGAGTCAAATGTAAATAACATGTCTTTTACTGTATGTTTGATGCCAAACATGATGGGTGATAAGGTTGTCACGACTTGAAGTTGGCGTATGGAAAATTGAATGCGCTTTTGTTACTTCTTTTTTATTCTTAGTTTTTAGTTGGTTACTTGTTTTATAACTGTCATTTTTATTTGCTCATTCAGGAAAGACAGCTTATCCATACTCCAAAACGTTCCCTCGGGATTCATATCCCAGTAAGGACAGAATTATTATGTTTATCCATACTCCAAAACGCTCCCTAGGGATATAATCCCATTAAGAATTGTTTGTTTCATGAGAATGGATCTGATTTTTGGCACCTGAGTTTTTGCAATCTAAATTCATATTTCAGATCTCCAAAATGATTCCAGTGTGTAGGGAGCTTAGAAACCTTGTTGACTATTAAAATCCAAACTAACGTTAATAGTCAAATTTTGCACTTCACATAATTAGTTGCAATTTGATTCTTATATGTAGATCAAAGGAAAATGATTACTGGCAAACTCAGTGTGCTCCTTAGACTATATCTAAAATGTCAAAAGAAGAAAGACAAGAAAAGATGGACTACAAGAAAAAACACAAGTGAACAATATTTAGGTGAAATTGAATTTCTCTTTCCTGAAAGAGGTTAATGATGCAAATCATATTTTTGTGTTATATTGTCAACTCCTGGCTCATTATAATTTTGGTTGCTCAGTCATGTTAGTAAGGCTGCTGGCTGGTTTGAATCTGTGACTGTAGCATCGGCGTCATCGCTGCCATGATAGTTGGCTTCAAGTGATTTACATTTGCTATCTGTGGTAGCTTTTACTTTGGGTATAGGGTTGGAAAACAGACTACTTGCGGTGGTTTTCTTTGGCAATTTCTCACCTTCCATACATCTGAAATTTTTTAAACTAGATTAACAACGATGAAAAACTTGGTCTTATTTCTAATAAATTTGGGGTTAGTTGACCCAAATCATTTTTCATTACTCTGATCCATCGCAACATTTACTGAAAGATTCAGTGAAATCATATCCTTAACAACCATATAAGACCATGCTAATTAGATTTACAACTTCCTCTTCTAACATGTTCTACTAAAATTGCTTGCTGATGAGAGCTTCTTTTAGTCTATGCAATGCATGTTCAACCACCTAAGTCATCATTTCCTTTATAATTCTTTACAAACAGTAGTCTTTAACAATTTTTTTTTTCCAGGAATTATTTGAGGGTTATTACTTCTGTCAAGCTCAAAGGGAGGAATTCTTTCTGCGAGCTAAACCTTATAAGGAGCACCCTACAATAATGAGGTGAGAATGTTCAAATATTTCGCTTTAAACTGTGGATATTGACTTCAAGTAAACTCAGTCTTTGTGGCTAAATCTGCGCTCACAGGATGCAGAATCTTGCAAAAGAATTGGGAGTAGTAATACCAGTTAGCTTCTTTGAGGAGGCAAACAATGCACATTACAATTCAGTAGCTGTAATTGATGGTGATGGGACTAATCTTGGACTTTATAGGAAGTCCCATATCCCAGATGGGCCAGNTTAAGTTCTGAGTGTTTATGATTATTTCAATGACTTGTAATACTGATTGACAGGTATTCCAAACTAAATTTGCCAAAATTGGAGTAGGTAAGATTTTCTTTACTTCTTCCTTCTGCTTGTTTGTGTGTCATTATAATCTACATATAATTTAAAGTCAAACATTAATTTTATCCACACATTAACAACTACTCCCGACTTATTATCCACATATTTCATAGGACTTATTACTCGTTTTCATTATAATCACATCATAATTTTTTTTCCCAAACAAGCATCTTATATTCTACAGTTTTCACCTAATTTATGAATACTAAAGATATTATGGAAAGCCAACTTTCAAACTTTATCTGTACACAGACTTCGGCTTAAACTAGAAAACTGCTAGTCGCAGATAAGTGAAAGTGGAATATTCTCTATCTTTCTATCGTTTCTACACGAACATTCAACATGCTTCCCGTTTATTCCTTTACCAGGAATTTGCTGGGATCAGTGGTTTCCAGAGGCAGCTCGCGCTATGGTACTTCAGGGTGCAGAAATATTGTTCTATCCCACTGCTATTGGTTCCGAACCTCAGGATGATGGCCTAGATTCTCGAGATCACTGGAGGCGGGTAATGCAGGGGCATGCCGGGGCTAATTTGGTGAGTTCCTAGCTTCATTCATGGGTTATACGTCTATAGCAAATTTTATGAGGGGATCATATGAATCATTTATTGAATGACCTCATCTAAAAGCTTGAAATGTTAGAAAGGGGACAGGCTTATTTATTTAGATTATGTCACGTGCCTCCTTATGGGTAGACCATATTCATTTGTTCACTGAAGGTCTTAATACATGCACAATGGTCATAAATCTGTAGCAACAAGACTTGTACTCGTGCTCTTTATTTATGTGTTTTGATGCATGATTAACCCACCTCTTTTGAAAATTTGAACTTTTGGAGAAGGGGTATTTTATTTAAACTATGTCTTCAACTTCTATTGTAGTGAACAGTATCAACCCTGCATTGCTTAAATTCTGGTCTCATTGAACCATAAACCCTCCAATTTTTTAGTCAGATTCATCAAGACATAATGCCCTTGATCGGTTTAGCTAAAAATCAGATTTATTAGATTTTGATAAAAGTTGATAAAAATTTTAGTTGAAAATTTGATAAAAGTTATGGGTCCCATGAAATGCGTAGTTGAAAATGAATTTAAGGAAAATGAGGTTTAGAAAATGGAGACCAAACATGGGCTAGGTCTGCAAAACAATCAATCCTTTTAATATTATAAAATATTCACTTTGTTGTTCGCTATAATGTTCATTTTTAAAACTCCTTTTATCTATCTTTGTCAAGTGCTTTGCCTATCACGTTTGGCTGGATAAGGAAGACGAACTACCTCTTTCTTTTCTTAGGCTTTGAATTTTTGGGGGGTGCAGATTGAATTGTTTGCTTATCTTTTTCCATATTTTAGTTAATCAAATGAAGATCTATATTCCCCTTTCTTGACCATTAAAAGAACTTATTAATGCAATAGGGTTTTTTGGTGGAAACATTGATAAATGCATTTCCTCTCCAGTTACTACTACTAATATTTTGGTTAGTTACAATGAGGACTGCACAAAGTAACATAACCTCTTGGGTTTACATTATACCCTATCTGGTAGGTAATTGATGTGGAAACAAAAAGGAAAATCTTTTCCTTTAGCACGCTTTTAGGACTTCTTGTACTGTGGCAAACATAACCTGTTTGCATCAATTTGCATTTTTATGATATGGTCATCTGGCTTTAATGCATTCAGGTACCTGTAGTTGCTTCAAACCGAATAGGAAAGGAGATAATTCAGACAGAACATGGCAAAAGTGAGATCACATTCTACGGAAATTCTTTCATAGCTGGTAAGGTTTTTAAGAATTAGCTAGAATTTGCAAAGTTGCAAGTACAAGTCATAACGTTCACAGATGAGGACTTTCAAACATGCTGCTCTGTTGAACAGGACCCACAGGAGAAATAGTTGCCACTGCTGATGATAGAGAAGAAGCAGTTCTTGTCGCAGAATTTGATCTGGATAAAATTAAATCCAAGAGATATAGCTGGGGGGTATTTCGTGATCGGCGTCCAGACTTGTACAAGGTTCTTTTGACCTTAGATGGCAGCAACATATCTCTATGATTTATCAATGCTTTCTGATGGAGATGATCAATAAAAAAATCAAGCATGTTTCTTTGCGTTTCGTTTTTCTGTGGGAAAATTTATGGTTCATGAATTGAATGAAGAACCATATGTTTGAACATTAGTCCGATGAGCCATGTAACAGCGATATATTCGATGCTTGAAAAATGACATTAATCATCATGGATGGTCTTTTTCATGTTTTATATTTTGTTATAGATGATAAAAATCCTCCACCTTCAGAGAATCTCATTCTAGAAGATTCCATCTGTCAGAGTTGTGCAAAGGTCCTCGCATGGGCATCTCGAACAATTATATTAGTTGTACATTCTTGGATAACGTTGTATGATGTATGAAAAATGTGCCATTGATTTGAATAATTGTTGTTAAATTCAATGGCACGAAGTGTTGCAACGTCAAACAATGTCATCCATGATGTCAAATTTAATGTACCTATAGCAAAATTGTATCTCGAAAGTCTCTTTCGAAGTAGCGTAGCCATATTAAGTGCAGCAATTCCTTGGGAATTGCTGCCAGAATTTTCACAGATGCTGCACCTATTTGGTTTTTTTTGTTTTTTGCTCAATAGAAAATTGCCAAATGTTATATGTATGAATTTGGCATCACTTTTTTTGTATAAATAGTAGCTCTCTATCAAGTGTGTCATTTTTGAACCCCTTTTTCAATGTTTAGATTGTGGTAGTGATTCCTAAATACCCTTTTTTCTTTATGATGCAATATGTTGTAAAAAGTATTACTGCAATTATTTTTCCTTTCGTTGTTTAATATCTTCTGGATATTCCATTTGATTCCGTAATGATTGGAAAAAATTAGAATTTTTTTTCCACAAAAAATGACGACGGTTGATGGAAACTTTAGCAAAAAGATCTTTCAATATATTTTGTGATGTTCCCTATCTCAAAGAATTGACGACCCCTAACAAGGATTGGGTGAATTCTGTAGCCACTTGGAGGCTCAGTAGCCTCAGATTTTGCAACTATCAATATAATTTTGAATAATACTACATGTACATTCTTTGGTTGACATTGTTTTTCTAAAAATCATGGACAGGAAAACAGTTTTTGATTTCTGTAGCCACTTGGAGGCTCAGTAGCCTCAGATTTTGCAACTATCAATATAATTTTGAATAATTCTACAAGTACATTCTTTGGTTGTCATTGTTTTTCTAAATATCATGGACAGGAAAACAGTTTTTGTTTTTAAACTGTCCAATGATGTTTTGTCATGTGGCACATCGTAAAGAAAGATGTAAAAGATGATGTACATGTATCATGATTGTATAATTTTTGCCCATACTTCCCCGTAGGATCAACATCATGATGATGCAAGGCAATGTGTAGAAATTTCCGCAATTATTAAGCTTTATGCCTTTCAATTTCTAGACCAAATATTGTTAACATGTTGAAACTGTGATAGTTTGGTTGTAACGATCCGGCCTTTATCCCGAGCCGTTAACTTACGTACTGCTTACTATGGGAGAGTCTAGGTGCGTCTTACCCCTCACGAATTTTTATCGCATTTTAAGGATTTGAACGACTTTTTTTTTAAAGAGATTTAAGTTGAATTCTGGTACTAATTGGGCAAGATACCTGGTAGAGTAACAATAAGTTTGAGTTGAGTCTCTTACTCTCAAGCTCGACCTTCCTTGGCTTTGGCTCGGACACTCAAGTTAGACCTTCTCTTGGCTTGGGCTCAAAACCTCGACATCAGCATTCTTATGGCATAATCAACTTGTTGATTTATCATTGTTGGTAGAAGTCAAGGCAATTCATTGAGCCAAGTGAAAACCTTGGTGGTGGGTATTTGTTCCTATGCACATATTCAAACACTTAACCAAATTTGTTGATTCTCAATAAATCCTCAGAATTTTATTTTGACCTTGGAAACTACTTCTAGATTTTCAAGTATTCAAGCAATTTAACACATCAAGATTCAATAATTGAAGAAGTGGGCTAAAGTAACTAAGGGTAAAGAACTGTTGTTCATGTTCTTCAAAGGACATTTATAATCAATCACCATTTGCAAACTTTATTTGCATACCATTATGGAGAAAGGGAAGAAAAAAGCAAAAAATTCTTTGCACTTAGCATTGCAAAAATGGCCAATTAGAACTGAGAACTTTCCTAGCTCTATGTTATGTGCTATCTTAGATGTCGTAGTTGTTGATTTCAACATCCTCTTCTCCATTTTATCGTCCCTCTTCATTCATGTCGCCCTCACTTTTAGCATCATCATTTTTACCGGTTTCTCCATTGATTTCCTTGATGTTATCATCATCTTCATCTTCTTCCTCATTGTCTTCAAGAATTTCTTCATCAGAATGAATAAATTGCAACTTCAGACGTCCATTTTCGCGACATGCATACATGAATTCCTGAGTTGGTATCCGTATCTCTTTAAGAATAAACCGGCCGTCTTCTCTGTACGATTTAAAGCACACCCATGGCTTCCCACTCCTACCTATACAAGAAATGGGAGGAGGAAATGAACCTCTACTTGTTCTTGATCTCTTTGAATATTCACTCCAATGGCTTTCCGTTTGAGTTTTTCTTGTGAAACTCTTTCTCTCCTCCTGATGCTGAAATTCATTACAAATGTCATTCCTCAACAAATCCTCAACATCATCAAAGCTTTCGAATCCAAGCCCTTCAGTGCATAGCGATAAACTGTCAGAATTGACAGACGAAAAGCTATCACTATGCCGGTATTTCTTTTTGTGGGTGGTTGGATAATAACTTGATGTTGGATTCTTGGCTTTGTCATGATTATTGCTGTTTGGGCTATCACTTTTCTCCCTGTTGAGTTTTTCATTATCAGATTGTTGATGCACATCAGGAAAAAACATCGAATTTGAGGACAAAGATGAGGATGGAGAGGATTGAGGAAGAGGGGAGGGTGAAGATGATTCGGAGGCACGGTTTTCTTTAAAATGTAATTCACCGAATACTTCTGTAAAGGACAAATCGTCAACCGATTTCATGGATTTTATTTGTTTCCATGATGTAAGAGATTCAAGAAGTGTTGGAGTTTCTGGCAATGGCTCCTTAAAGATTTGTTCTAGGCTTCCACAGGCTGCCATGGTTGGCCTTTTAGAGTTTTTCTTTTTGTCCTAGAAGACAGAAATCACATATATCTATAAGAAAATACTAATTGTGTGTGTGTTTGTTGTGTAAGAAATAGATAGAGAGAGATGCACGGGAAGGGCATGAAATTGTTGCTGTAAAGTCAAGGGGATGGAACTATTTATTAGGGGTACCTCTCAGGTGGCAGTGGAACAAGGATGGGTGGTTATGATTTATGAAGCTTTAGAATTTGGTGGTCACAATTATAATTTGCAGCTGTCTTTATCTTTCCTCCAGTTAAATTCGGGTTTCACCATGTGTCATATATCCTTAAAAATCACAAAAGATTCCAACACAACAAACTAAAGCATTTTTCTCTTTAAAATTATTTCTAAAAACAACGAAAGATCAAGTCTTATTTTCAAGAAATCTAGTGTGGGCGGCTACGAGAATGATGTTCTCAACTTTCTTGCAATTCCGAGGTGCATGTTGTGTTATCTTGATGTGATTGGCAAGATAATATAAACTCTTAACAAGCCTATCGCGTGATATTACTTTATTTATTTCCTTCTTCGACGTGTTTAAATCAAGAAGGATTTTCACGAATGAATTGACCCTAAACTGCATGAACCTGTTTTGTTATCTAAAATAGAGCTGCATATGTAACTTGCTTTCAAAAATTTTTTTTGCTGATGTCTGCCTCGAAATACTGTGTGAACGGTAAGTTTACCCGGTTGATCCTCTATTATTGTCAAGTATACATCAAGACAATGATAGAACCCACATTTCATTTTCTATGATGTATTTTAAAGTAGATATATAACAATAATTGGACAGTTCCAAAGTAGGACTACAAAAGCTTCTAACCACAGGGTTGCTTGGTGGTTCACTCATATTTCTCTGCATTGGACACCAAATCTTATCAAGCAATCAATCGTGTCATGTCTAATACCGTATATCAAAAATACCCTCTAGATTGATTAATCAATGCTGCAGCGCAATTCCATATCTTTGTTGCAATCCTAGTGCTTGAAAAGGTACATTTGCTACATTTAGCTAATGACAGAAAATGAAGAATTACATTTTATGTTAAACTAATTTGGTTATTAGCCTAGTTATCAGGGTTTCATTGATAGCAACTAAGTTATCCTTTCTGAGTAAATGGAAGATGACATTTGCACAAGGTTAAAAAAAACATGCTGATTGAAAATCACATAGTAATATTCAGGAAAGTAGATTTTTAACACGACAGGTTGAGTAAAAACCAAACAGCAACAGTTATAAGTAAGAACACATACAACGGACAATTTGCACAAATTCAGAATCAAACAGAATACAGAGTTAAGTCAGATAATAGTCGGTGGAATGGCCATGGACCGACTTTATCGCCAAGCTTCGATTCGTTCTGTCATTGAATTTATACGGGTCAAATTGCTAATTCCTCTGATCTTGTTATCGGTTTCCATAGCCATGCCCATAACTTGCTGCCTGTTAACTTTTCCTTCAGTTTTTGTGGGATTAGAAGCACTTGATTGCCCTGTGTTGGTCCTCTCACAGTTCTCTTCAAGCAGAGTCTGACGAGCATTCATTACTTTGGCTTCTCCTCCACTGCTGAGACCGTTAACTTGAGCAGGAGATTCACTTACATCAGATACTCCAGTAGATGTTGAATAATTGTGATATTCCTCGTCGGTGAGGTTATCAACTTGGTTGAAATCAGAAGAAACATCTGAACTAGGATCCTCTCTAATGAAGGTCTCTTCTCTATCTTCATTTGATTCAACAGGATTACTCAGATGCAGTTGCGAAGAATCCTGATGCCCATTATCATCAGAAGGTTCCATGTGGGAGACAGGAGCTGGTTCTATAAGAGAATCTTCTCTCTCTCTTAATGTCTTCTCTATAAGAGTCTTGAGGAAGTTCATAACTTGCACTGCATACATCAATGCTGTCAATGGATCTGCCATCTGTGAATGGAACAGGAAAGAATATTAATATGACAGAAGACCTTAATAGAAAGATAATTGAGCATATGTAGTAGGGCCTTTTACACTGTCTTAAATTGGAATTGTTTTGGTGGTAGAGACTAGAGACTGAAAAACATCATAACAGATGTCTTTTAAGTCATAACAAGAATTGACTGCAGAATACCTGCGTCATGTTCGGTGCAAACACCATTGCAATGTTGCGTGCATTCATCTTGTTTAGATGTTCTTGTTGGACAACATCGACCATTAGGTTGATGGCCCAATCCAACAGAGCAGCCTCTGTTGAGGGCAGAAGCCTTACTAGGGCATCACAATCATCTTCTGACTGGCACTGCATCACCTCCTCGGGCGAAAGAGAATCCAGCACCCCTCTAGGTAGTTCTCTGAACCAAGCCTGCATAGGTGAAAAGGTAGGCCAATGCCAGAAGGGCAAAAGAAGGAACAGCACATTGGATTCAAAAAATCAACAGAACATATCAATAGTGAAAATAAGGAGACAACTCGGAATTGTAAAATGAGTTGCACAGTATGTGAAACGTGGAACAGTTATATAAAGCTGGCATTACAGGCTTGACCATTCTGGTTGGGAAAATAAGAACATATGATAGCTGCAAGAACTAAAATTGGATGTCCTTCTAGCAAGAAATGGAAAGTGATTAAAGTATTTGGTGTTAGATGAGAAATCTGTCACCCACAAAGTTATAAGGTCACAGCCTACGATGTTGATGTCATATCTTGGAACATCTTCTACCAATCAGACTCTTGGATAATCTAGCATGTTAGCTATATCTGATGGCATATCTTTATAAAGAATATAAAACAATTTTATACACCGATCGCCATAAAAAGGGAAGCAGAAATGTATGCATATATTCAGCAGGTAAATTCAGGTTCAGGATGTAGATTTATGCTTTTACCTTGTATCTCAGATGACAGGGAAAGGAAAACAAAAAACCATTAGAGTGACTCTTTCAAGGGAATTCCGAGAGACCTTAGCTTAGGGGAATCCGGTTGGATCGAACGAAAAGCAGAAGTAAGAATTCAATGATGGTATTGAACTCGAACGAACGAATAATTGATTCGCCTAGTACGTAGTCTCAGTCTCAGTTGGATTGATTCGAACAACATGGTTTGCTTCTTTGATTTGTGGATTCATAAGAAACTACTCCTTGCCCCAACTAACCCAAATCCTACCCTTCCCACCGTACACGCAACCTGGTCCGCTTCGAGATCAGTTCAATCAGCAGCTAAGTCCACTAAAGTACTCACTTCCGCTCCACGGTAAACGAGCATAAACAATAACCATTTTTTATGCTGGTAGGGGGAAAATAGGTTTGATTCATTTTCCACGTAGGGAAGCATAAAAGGAAAGCGGTCCCTTACCATGGGACCTCTATTTCCTTCTCGTAATCGAACCTTTTACAGAAAGCAGCTCACACTCGGTAATAAGACTTGAACATGGATTTTTTCCCCCATCGACTGGACTTTTCATAGGGATCAGGAACAAAGACCAGAACGAATAGGTAATGGGAACTATTCTTTTTGTTTCAGGATTTGAGTAGGTAAGGGCAGCAGGACTAGAAACATAAACAATCGGACCAAGCAAGATATAAGCCAACTAACAAAGCCACAAGCTACAGGCATGCTCCTTTCTTAAAAGAACTAATTTTTCTCACATTTTCCCTATTTAAAAAATAAAAATCAAATCCAAAATTCTATAAATTTGAGTTGAATGTCATGGTAAATGAAAGGAAATACGATATAACAATCTTCCATAATTATTTTAAGATAGTTGTTATGTTCATAAACTTATGTAGTCCTTGGTGTTCTATGACGCATTCTCTAACATTCTTCATTTATGGCCATGTTTTGTCCTTCCTTTTCCCTGTTACAAATCCATGCAACTGGAAAAACGACTCAGCGAGATTTTCTCTTTTAAGAAATTTTTAGATAGAACGCAGCATTTCTCCCAAGGGAACTGCTAATTGGAGATGGTATTAACCTCGTTTAGATACACGAGCACTCACAGACATTCATAAAATATTTATATAAAAGTGACAATTATTAGTTAAAAAATCATATAGCCCCTGTTTGGTAGAAATTAAAATCAGATTTTTAGAAAATTTAGATAAGAGTTGATGAAATGTATGGTTAAAATTAATTGTTGACTTTGACTTAGATTTTAATCAGATTTTTTAGTGATACCAAACAAGGGCATAATATAGTAATCAATTCATTAATAAGAAGTAATACTCTACATTTGCAGCGCATGGCTGCCCAAGTATTTTATCCTTGTCTCTCTGTCAATAGAAATTGATGACATATATTAATTTTGTGCGTCTGATCAAAAGTGGAAAATGTTGATTTAAGTAGCATTCATTTCTCTAGCATTTTCCGTACTTCGTTTGGTTAAGTTCCACTATCTTCACTCTTTTTGAATGATAGTTTTTGTTTATTTCTCTAAAGAAGTAATAGTGAAGATGGTATGGTTGCATGCTAATATGAAAGTTTAAATGACTAGAAAGCACAAAGTTGTACTGCTCAAATGCAAGACAAATACAAATATCAACCACGCCAAATTGCTAAATGCAGCCACGTTTCACACTACACGTTCACAACTGTCTCCATCTACACAAACAAGGCATGGAATGAAGCAAGAGATTTTTCAGACATTATTGGCAAAGGTCCCTTCATCAACTAAAGACTAAAACAATGTTATCATTTTTCTCCTCCAGATTAATGCTACAATTAAGCATGGGATACCCTATCTAGTTATCTCCAATTTCAAAAATTCAACAAAAAAATAAATAATCAGATTTTTGGATGACATTTAATCCTTTTTCCAATTGAAGGAATAAAATTAATGTAGAAGCATCCATGCTGAAAATCTTGTGAACTTTTACCTTAATCAGGCCTGCTAAACAGTGCACATCAATGCCTTCTGAAACCACTCCACTGTTTAATTGGTCCCTCACATACTCTTCCTGACTATTTCCTGCAGTGATTCTGAAGATCCCTTCTGCCTGCACATATAAATTAGCTGATTCTAGAATATGACGAGCAGCCACCACAAAAATAATATTATTCCAATATTCCCCTTTTTCGTACACATGACATTACTAGATAAATAAATAAGTTTGTCCCGTCTCTAAAAGCTTAAAGAAGGTGGTTCAAAATTCATTAAAATTCTGGATATGGAGCCTATAGTTGATATTTGATTTTGTTGAAGATATAATTTAAATAAATAAGTTAATCCCCCTCTCTAAAAGCTAAAAGCTCAAGCTTTTAGAGGAGTTGGTCCAACATGGTATCCTTAATTCAAATCTAGCAGCCACCCATTCCTGAAAATTTTGAACGTGACATTCTATGAAAAAATGAATATGGTGTGCATGTACATGTACATGAGTGGACATGTCGAAAACATTATGTAAACATATAAATTGTCCTCTCTTTAAAGTATCATACTTTTAGATGAAACAATTCAATAAATTTTATAATAAGAGAACCATTAAGAGAAGGAATGATGCACCTGCAGGCCTCCTTGAGCATACAAACGCCTTTGCAACAATAGGAGAATGGTTGGAATGCTATTGCCTCTAGGATCATATGATAGCTGCATCGATTCTGTAGAAACTCCAAAAACTGTGGCACTGGAATGGATTCCCACACAAAAGGAGAGGGTGAGGAAGCAGACATGCTAATATTACATTTTGATGATCGAAAAGGATTCATTATATACTATAATAATGTACAGAATTATGCAAAAGAAATGCTAAAATCTAGAAATTCCAACAAACCAACAATATATGTCACTCACTGCATAATCTACTGTAACTTTTTGATAAATTATTATGATGCACAGTTGGAAGTTTATTGTGTGGATGCGAGCTGAAAGGAAACGCCCAAAGTTAAGGAGGCCTGTCTAAAAATACAAGGAGAATGAATTGTGGAAATGTTTTTGACACGAAAATCTCATAAACAACAATATGCTCCTGTGACTCCAGCAATACGAAGTCCAGGTATTATGATATTTCAGCATGATAAGCTTTTCTCAATTTGAAACAACAAATTAAGAGAGTAATGGTTATTTGTGCAGTCTATAAGCGAGCTCAAGGGTTGGCACACCTTAAGATAGTCTCAAAAGTAAGCCAAGTGTCCGTGTTAGCATTTGGTGATGATACAGATGGATCAATTCTACTATAGTTTTTACTATCCAACTCAAGAAAACCTGAGCTCAATCTGGTGATCCTATGGTCATTTGGGAGATGTACTAGTTTTGGTTAAGAGAGAAGCAAAGGATCCAACACTCACGGATTAAGAAAGAAAATAAAAAATGATTCACTAAATTATGTCATGAACGCAATAATTTTTTGACAAAAAAAAAACATGTTCTCAAATAGGCAAGCCATAGGCCAACCAATCTTAGGGCAAAAGCATCAACGGAGAATTAAAGGAAATGAATCCAATGAAATCCAACAACTAGAGTATCAGCTATGAGATGCCTTGAACAACACAACATGAAGCCAAAATTTCAATGCAGAGATCAGTCGACCGAAGCCAAATCTTGAAATTCCAGCAAGTAAAGTTTCCCATGTTTAGTTTAGATATCTCTCATATATAAGTCCCATTTAATAAACTGCATCTAAGGAGCCGTAAACAATTATAGTAGATAGCTGTAATTCCATGTTGTTTGATGGATATACCCTAATGGTCAGAAAGTAAACGGCACTGTCCAATTTACAATTTGATTGGCCATTCAGATTCAGGGATCGTAAAGGCCAAAGAACCAAAAAGAAGGACATTCAAACAACAATATATGCCAAATTGGTCATGAAATTGATAAAAATTAAGGAAAACCACAAATGGAAGAAATGAGTTTAACAAAAAATTCCAAATAAAAACTGATTCCAAAGATTCCAGTAGATAACACTGACTGAAGATCTTTACTAACACAAATTAAAGAAAACCCACATAACAAGGTGCAGAAATATCACAGATTCAGCAATGGAGCAATCCAGTGAACACCAGAATCACAATAACACAGAAACTTCCACAAAATCTAATTATAATAAATCATCAAGATTATACATACATTAGGAGTCAATAACCTAGATGCAATTATATCATAGCGATTTCCACAACCAAGAAAGGGAAAACTTGTAAGAATCCAGACACGAGTTTATAAAACCCCAATTATAGAATTCAAGAAAGAAGAATGCACCTTGCACTGGGGGCCCTCCTGGGTACTTCAGGCTCAAACTCCACAGGCAAGCCCAAGAACCCATCAAATCGATCAAAGGTAACATGATTAACATGCTGCACATCAGTGGGCCATCCAATCTCCATAACACCTCGACCACAATTGGCGCTGCCGGCACCAGAAAACTCTTCTCTATCCGTCTTGCAAGCCAACCAAAAACTCTTTCGAAAGAGAGTCACTAAAAGTGCCAAAAGAGACAGTTGATCCCTCCTGTCCTTCTCCCTCTTCTCCTTCGCACTATTTTCCTCCTCCTCTTCTATATCACAGCCCGTCGCACCAGAAACCCTCTCCTCACCCGCATATGACTGAGTCTGATGAAACAATGTGGCATTGTGGGTAGGTGTGGTTATTGAAGGAGAAGAAGAGGAAGATGAGGAGTGGAGCACCTCTGTCATCCTTACAAGGGTTGAACAAATCAATAAATGGGATATTTTCAATATTCTCCGTTCCAAGATTTTTTTTTTTATTCAAGAAAACATATGGGTTCTTTATGTTTTCTAGAACAAAGAAATCTTGAGTTGAGATTTGGCAAACTATTAAAGAAACACAAAAACTCTCGGCTGGAAATGGGGGTTTGGTTTGGAGGGAAATGTTAAATTTTCTTTTTATGTATAATATAATACGGTTAGTGGAGTTTGATTGAAGGAATGGTAAAGATAGCAAGACGTGAGAATCAGAAAGGATTTATTTTATTTTAAAAAATTGAATTGTTTTTTCTGTCGACCTCTGCAAATTCTTCTTGAATGGATTCAGTAGAGCGTTGAAGAATCAATGAAAAAGAAAAAAGAGGTCATAGAGAGAGAATGAGAAGTTGTATGTATATGTAAGTAAAGGTGCGGATTAATCCTATTGGTTTGTGGTGTGTCAGGTGTCCACTTTCTTGTTCTTGATGATGATGAGATTTCTTTTTCCTCTTGTAAATTTTGGATCTCAATCAGACAGCTTTAGGATTTTATGTAGTTTTTTAGGTCTTGTTTCATTTAGCCCAATTTGAGCATCAGGAAAATAAATTTTATAAAGAGTGATTTTTTAAAAGATAATTAAAAATTAAAAAAAAAAAATTTAAGTACCCCTTTTTTTTTTAAATGTATAATTAAAAATAAATTGGAGAAATATATATTAAAGAATATAACTGTCTTCAGCTATGAAGCATTTGAGCCCCTGTTTGGTGCACATTTTGAGTCTAATGATGCATTTTTTTGTTTGATGTAATAGGGAATATGTGATTGAAAAAGAAGATAAAGTTATTGATGTGATAGAAAATATTATTTTATTGGTTGAAAATAAGTAGAAAAACGATAATGAAAAAAATAATGTGGCTCAAACAGCGACTAAGTAAATTATTACACAATGTTCAAAATTATTATTATTGTTAGTTTCATTTTGTAAGAAATTTTTTAGTACGGCTTCTGAAAAATAAAAAATTGCACTTGAGATTAAGCCCCTGTTTGGTACACGTTAAAATTTTCATTTTCATTCTTATACTCATTTTCAATTACACATTTTTCAATAAAATAATATTTTTCATCATATCAATAACTTTTCCTTTTTTTTCAACCACAAATTCTCCATAAATCTTCTATTTCAAAATACATTCTTTCCAAAATAATGTGGCTCGAACACACTCTAAAAGCTATCTTTGAACATGTATGAACTAGTTTTTTGAATGTTTAGTCTTGATATAAAAACTTTTAAAGAAAATTGTTTTAAGATAACTTCCTTGAAAAGTTTTTTTTTTTACCGGAAGCAAAAACAAGAATATATTTTCTCAAACATTTTTGCTTAACTAAAAAAATAAAAGAGGCATGGGCAAAAGATGATAATTTTTGCACCTGAAAATTATCCTTTTTTTTTATAACCGTGGATATTCGGCCCAACTTGCGCTCACCGGATACTCATCCCAGTGGCCCTGAGGGGCTGAAAATTATCCTTATTTCTGGTTTTGTATTCAATTACATCAAAAATATTGCATTCCACGTTCCATTGACAAGAAGAAACAAATTTCATCACTTGTCTTTTATCGATATATAATTTGGCGTACCAAACAAAGGAAAATTCAAATCGATATTAACAAAGTCAATAATATTATCATTTCAACGATTTTGAGTTGACGTTATTTAAATTTCAATATTCGTAGGTAATATTTTTCAAGAAGGATAACTTACTTTGCATTTGAAGTAGAAATCTCATTAGTTGATTAAAAAGATAATTTGGTACATTGGCATTCAGGCTACAAAAGCTGTAATCAAGGATGATTTGGACTAAGCTCACATGTAATGTTTGGTGTTAAACCTAGAAGAGGGGCATTTTATGTACAATATTTCAACTCGTGCCGTTTTTTTCTTAGCTCCTGTTTTAGCTCCATTATAAATAGTTTTTGAAATAAAAAATGTATTTTATAATAGTATTTTTTTTAAAGAATTTGTGGTTACAAGGAAAAATTTTGAATTTACAGATAATATTATATTATTCAGGAATATGAGACTAAAAAAATGTATTTTAAAATTAATGGAGCCCCAACAGGAGCTTAAATATCATAATGCAAATTTCACAATACTTGAAAATGTTAAATAAAAAATACATAATCAATTTTAGCATGGTCAAACTAATTTGATTGAAAAAATTCACCTTATTATAGGTATGTAAATCATTACGTAAACATATTATATACACATAGTACAATAATTTTTTTCATACAATGCAGTTTCAAGTAAATTTTTTATAATCATGCATTCTCTAATTCGGTCACAAAGTTGGGTTATCTATAATATATTAAATATCACATCAAGTGAAAAAAAAAAATTAGACGATTTTAACCATACTATAATTCAATTATTTCAATAATCTAGATTCAATAAATCTTGATGTCACGTTTTTTACCCCTTTTTCTCTCCCCAGCCCTAGTCGCCCAATACTGGTAAAACTTTTGATTTCTCTGCTTCCGGTGAGCGGCATAGCGCCGCTTTTCCGGCCTTTTAGTTCTTTTATTTTAGTGCTTGCAAAGGTGAGGGTTTTCTTCTAGGTTCCTTTGGAATCCTAGTTTTGTCCTCCTGACTCCTTGTCTGTGAGGTTTTGTTTGGTGGCTCTGCCTGTATGCTTCGGTTGCTATCCGTGGCGTTGGTTTGTGTTTGGTCTTGGTGTTTCAGGTGTTTTCGGACGGCGAGTTCTTTGGTTGGGGCAAGGTGTGTTCCGGCTTAGGGTGGCTTTGTGGTCGGTGCAGGCTTGACCTGTTCACGGCCTGTTTTGTCCGTCCGGTTGCTTTCGTCGGGATTTATCTGGCTCCAGGATTGGTCCTTGTTGTCTTCCTTTTCGCTCACTGCCGGATTGAGGTCGTAGCTTCGGTTGGAGTATGATAGAGCTTTGTTTGGTTTTTCTTTTCTTTGTTTGTCTTTGAGATTTGTTTGGTTATTGTGGTAGCTCATGCTTAAGCATAGGAAGCACTTAAACTCTTTTAGGAGGGCACTGTGTTGGAGGTTAATCCTCTTTGTATCCGTTTGCTACTTTGATGATCAATGATATTGTTATTTTATCAAAAAAAAAAAAAAAAATCTTGATGTCACGAATCTCGAATCTTGATCTACATGAATCTAGACTTATTATAGATAAATTTATTTATATTTACGTATCTAGAAATTTTAATGGATGCGTAAATTTATGTATCTACGATTAATCCTTATTACCTAATGTAATATAAAAAAGTTATTTATTTGTAGTATTTCTTCATTAAAAAAAAATTTGATTTATAGAAATGAGTTTTGAAAGTGCAATTTTCCAATCTTAAATTTATATTCCTCTCACAAATTCATATCAAAATATTACTTTTACAATTATTCTTCAACTCATAACCTAAAGAACACTTTCCTTGTAAAATACCGATGTGATTCATAACCTGGACCTGTAAGAAGAAATGGAATAGGAGGGGAGTAGCGGCTAAGGGTTTCCTCGGTACCAATTTTATCTTGCGTTGCAGTGATTTCGACTCAATTCTTCATCACCAAACTTGGAAGGTACTATCAGTTCAGATATTTTTGCGGAGAAACGGTTTTATATGTTGTTTCGGCGCTGGATTTGATTGTTATGAGCGATTTAATTTCAACACAACCTCGATCTAAGATTCCGTCAGAACTATTGTCGTTCTCATCTTCTAGCTTCTTAGAATTTATATGTATATAATTTTTCAAAGTGGTTGTTTCTTGATGGTAATCTTGCATACGCAACTGTGATTTTCTCGGAAACACATCTCTTGGTCAATTAAGGCTTAGCTGAAATGCTAAAAAAGTAGCTAAAAACTTGATTACTTTGGACGAGAGAAACAAATTTTCTAGCCAAATTCGGCAAAAAGCCACTTCCTTTGTATAAAAACGCAAAGACAAACCCAGCTCTATCATACCTCTCGTTTAATTTCTTCTGGAACAATCACAAACACTTTTTATTATGGATCTATTACCTGCAATTAAGTGCGTTAACTCTGCATGTTGAATAAGGTAGGTCATATCAATGAGTGGAGCATGTGCTCCATTCTAGTGGAGTGAAACTTCGTGTTTTGATTTCCATGATGACTGATGAGATGCTGCTATAGGGGACAAGTAAATTTCCTTAACGTACTAATAAACACTGTTTAGTAGTAATGCTTCCACAATCCTGATACCGTTGTAGAAAAAATAAATACATTGAGAGGCCTGGAGGTGTGATTTGTAAAGTCTGTAATTAATGCTTTAATGAGCATTCCACTTGGCCTATATAGAATCTAGGCTGGTTAGGAGTTCAGATTGTGGGTGCTAGATTGCCATTAATGAGCAGTCTGTAGCTTTAATGAGCATTTTCTTGCTCCCATTTGTTGGTTGCACTCTGGCTTTCTCATGTAAGAGTCAAGTTCGGTTTTTTGTGGAAACTTTACATCGCTGTTGAACTGCAAATCACTGCTATTTTAGGGGCTATAGATAGTGGTTTAGCATTTTGGTGAATCTTCTTGTTCCTCCCCCACAAAGACATTGAACTGTAGGATGATATTGGAAAGAAAACGGCTGGCTTTTCCATTTCTGTCACTCTTTGATAGCATGTCATAATAGTACTGTACTTAATGACAAATGCCGTCTTGAAGGTTTATATTTCTCTAGATAACTTTTCTGAATGTCTGTTTAATATTTTCAGCACCTGAATTGTGATTCCCTTCCAATGACATGGAAAGAATGAATTTTTGACCAAAATACTTCTAGAAGTATGATAACTATATTGACTAATGATAGGAGAAGTGCCTATATTAATTATATTGAATATTTATCAATAATAGTCATAGGAGAAGTACCTTTGAGCCATATTTGCAAAATTTCTATAAATGCTTCATCAGGTCTTCTAGCTTCGTGTTTATAAAAGTGAATCATTCATCTAGAACTTCTGCTGCTGAGGCATTATATTTCCTCAGATTCTTTTAATTGAGTTTATGCGTAGTAAGGAATTCTAATTTCAATATGTATCTTAAGTTCTTTACTTTTTTTGTTGATATATTGCAGGACGACTTGTAGATTGGTATATTTATTAGGAACTGGAACTAGTTTCCTGAGACTGGACTATTTGTGGCTTGACTCCCTTTCTGATACAGCAGTTTCTTTAACACTATTCTGAATGATTCTACATGTTCGGCAATCCTCTGTCTGCATTATTTATCTCTGATATTGATTTTTATTGTCTTGGTTCGTACTTACTATTCCTCCTTTATCCTCATTGTGATACATGCTATTTCTTTTCTTATCCTTATATTTTTGGTGCTTGTGCACACCTTTCCATAAAATTAAAATCAACTTCATATCTTATAATTTCTTTGGTATCATTCTTAGTCATGTTTGAACGAAATTCTTTCTTGATGTTATGCACCTGCTTCACACAGCATGCATTATCATTTGAGGTTCTCTTTCATTTTCTATCTGTTAACCAGCTATTATTCTATATGTCCTTCATCCAAAACCTGCTTCGTTGGAACCCATATATTTTTATACAGTGACCTTTGGCCAATGAAGGCTAAAATGTTCCAATTCCTTTTGATTTTGTTTCTTGCCCACCATGTGTTAACTGTATACTTCTTCCCATCTATTCTGCTGGCTTCTTCAGAGTTGCCTTGCAATCTTATATATAACCAAATAAGATGCCAAAGGAGAATGCAAATACAACAGGAGCAGCTAGTTGAACCTGAGAAAACAAGTGAATGCCAAAAGTCGACTGATTCTTTTGAACGAGTGGATCTTAATGGAGAACAAAATAATGGAGAGTTAATGGATGAAGAAGAAATCGAATATGAAGAAGTTGAAGAAGAGGAGGAGTTAACTGAAGAGGAAGAACCAGAAGAAGAAGTTGAAAAACAAGAGGAGGAAGAGGCTGACATTGCTAATGGTGGTGAAACTAAAACAGGGCTCATTGCCAATGCATCGAAAGTTGAGAATGAGGATGAGAGTCAAAAGCACGTTGAACTTCTTGACCTTCCTCCTCATGGTTCAGAAGTATGTATTGGTGGAATTTCTCAAGATACTACAGAGGAAGACTTAAGAGGTTTTTGTGAGTCTATTGGGGAAGTGGCCGAGGTATACTTTATGGCTGTTTTTGGGAGTATTACTTTTCCCCTTTTTAAATCTCTAATATCATTATTTGTTTTCATATCTAGGTCCGAATAATGAAAGGCAAAGATTCTGGCGAGAACAAGGGCTTTGCTTTTGTGACCTTTAAAAATGTTGAGTTTGCATCTGAAGCCACCGAAAAGCTGAACAAGGCTGAGTTAAAGGTAATATGCTTCTTTACCATTTTAGTTGAGGATTGTTCCTTTTGTCTGCCACTGGTTTCTTCTTCTCAGTTTTTTTTCTTTCTCCCTATATGTGCTCATCTCTCTCTCTCTCTCCCTCCCTCCTCAGGGGAAAAAGATAAAATGTTCTTCATCTCAAGCGAAGCACCGGCTGTTTATTGGTAATATTCCTAAGAGCTGGAGCGATGAAGACTTGAAGACAGCAGTCACAGAAGCTGGGCCTGGTGTTATTTCTGTGCAACTGGTTAAGGTAATTCCACGAATCTCAGTGATATTTTTCCTCAAAATTTTCTGCATAATTTAAGTTTTGCAACTTTTCTTCACAACATGTCAATCTTTGAGATTGCAGGACACACACACCTCTAATAAAAATAAGGGATTTGCCTTTATAGAGTACTATAATCAAGCGTGTGCAGAGTACTCAAGGCAGAAAATGACAAATCCAAAATTTAAGCTCGAGAATAACGCTCCCACTGTGAGCTGGGCTGATCCTAAAAGTTCTGATTCCGCAGCTGCTTCGCAGGTTGGAAAATATTTGGTTCTACTCTATGTTGGCTTTTTAACTTTGTATATCATAGTTGATAATGACGGCAATAAAGGTGCTGTATTGCCATCATAAATGATCAGTGGTTTTCGTTTGTTTGTATGCTTGTATGGTTTGGTGGCTTCTTAAGCTAAACGATAACCTACATTTGGTGAGGATGCTCATGTACATATAGATAGATGTGATTTACAGGATCGACATATGTTGAATTTCTGCGAGATGAAATACAAATTATTAATTGAGGAGCTCACGTGCTTCCATTGTATCAAAGCCTTTAAATCAAGTAAGAAAAAAGCTGTTTATGTTTTCAAAAGATATTGAATCTGTGCAAGCACAGGATATTCGATAGAAAACGTGGAGTTGTCCTCATTATAAAAAAGCGTTCATAAGTTGAATGTATACACGCAAAAATTGCAATTAGTTACCAGAATTTTTTAATATTGTTGTTAATGGAAGTATGGAACACGTTTTATTTTATGACATTGTACAAATATTTAACTGTATATATAGACTTATGCTAAACAGTCATAAGCCAGTTGTTTATTCCCGAATTATTAGAGGACTTTATAAACAGATTAGAGTATTATGTTGAAATTGTTCCAGATTTAAACAAAGTTAAACTATCGCGGTTATTTTTGCAGGTTAAGGCAGTGTATGTAAAGAATCTTCCAAAGGAAATAAATCAAGATCAGCTTAAGAAGATTTTTGAACGTGACGGGAAGATCTCAAAAGTGGTCCTACCACCAGCAAAGCCTGGAATGGAAAATAATAGAATTGGTTTTGTGCATTTCTTTGATAGGTCTAGTGCTATGAAAGCACTGAAAAACACTGAAAAATATGAAATAGATGGTGAGTGCTTCTGTTTGTTTTTATATCTGTGACTGTTTTTGAAAGGAAAAACTGCCGACCTTATTTGCTTAGTGTGTAGTTGTGGAAAAACAAAAACCTAATGCATGATTTTGGTTTTGTTCATTCGTTGTCAGGGAAAGTACTCGAGTGTTCACTTGCTAAGCCACAGGCAGAGCTGAAGTCCCATGGAGGATCAAACATAAAAATGCCAGGCCTGCTTTCAACTTATTCACCTGCTGTTGGTTTTGGTTTCGCGGGTGGAGCTTATGGCGCTATTGGTAGTGGTTTTGGTGCAACTGGTTTTGCACAGGTAAATCACATGGACGAGACATGATCGCCTTGACCTTCATCATGTGGGCAAAATCTGAATGAATTTTAATTACTTGACAGTTGACATATTTCTGATTAATCCTTATCCTTATAAGATTAGGTTCTAGTGTATTACTTATTAACTAATAGGCTTATTATGTGTAGCTTCAACTTTTCACAGCGTTCAATATATATATTTTTTGTACCACCAATTTCAGATTTCGGTTACCTAAATAGGCTTGTAGGCATATTGTGTACCTAGAAGTTTCCACAAGCTGAAGATTCAGATTTCCCTATTTTTGGTCTTCAATAGGTCACACTTTTTTCTCATGTTTCTTGAATACATACAGTGTGTTCGCTAAGATAGTGTATCTTTCTTCACCATTCATCCAATTTTGTTTGTCATTATGCCTGTTGAAAGCTTCCAACTGTTACCTAATTCCTTTTTCCCTGTCATCCATTTATGTATTTCCAAAACAATGCATTTAGACCTTTTCCCGTTCCTTTATTATATTTTGAGAAACTAGCTGGTAAGTTTGGCCAAGAACGCACATTAGGAACAGTTTTTAACCTGTCATTCTGCATTTCACCTCTATGCCTCTAAAATTCTGTTAGGAGAATCCCTTGCTACACTCTTGACTCAGAGGCGCCTAAAAGTCAGTTGTAAAGAAGCTCGTCGAGTAGGTTTTTGGGCGCTCCCCATCCTCACAGATACCCTGTAGAGATGCCTATTCTGAAATTTGGTCCAAACTTTTTCACAAGAGATCCAGGAAGACATTTTATTTTTACAGATAAATCCTTGAATAATAAAAATATATTTTTCTAGATCATCAAGGACAAACTATTATTTTACCTTTACTGCTATTTTTTAGATTAATGTGTATTGATTGCACTTTTCAGGGAGAGAAAAGAGGGATTTTGCCCTTTTGCAGGAATAGAGTCAGGGTAGTTAAAATTGGGATCCTGCCTAGGTTAATTTTGGTTCAGAAAATTGGATCCAATTTTAGAATCATAAGATTCTAGAAATAAGTTCTTCAGATTTATATACAGATAAACAGTTCATAAGAATTTGTTATGACAAATCACATTACAAGAATATATCTTGACTGATGGCCTACTAATTAAAATCTTACCTGGATTAAATTGAAGTTGAAATTTGAAGATGGGGGTGAAAATAAATAAGGCATCTATTTAAATTAAAACAATAAAAATGCCAGTAACTAGTTGAAGGAAAATGCATGGTTAACCATGAAGTCTTACTCACAGGAGTACCGTATGTTTTTACTTTTAAAATATTATTTGTGCACTGCATGATATCTATTTCCGAAATTAAAAAATTGGTTTTGCCTTCTGCATTCTTCTATACATACAATAATTTAAAATGGTTTTCTGTTTAAATTTTGTTTACTTTGGCATGGTAAATCAATTTCTATCTGACTTGCAGCCTATGGTCTATGGAGGAGGATCGACCCCTATTGGCATGGCCATGATGCCTATGCTTCTACCTGATGGACAGATTGGATATGTCTTGTAAGCTACTATGCAATTTCTTTATTATCACTTTTGTGTGAGCATCCTTTCCTTTACTGGTTCAGTTTAAAAAATTTAAGAATTCTAATAATAGAATCCTATTTATGTTGAGGAAATTTCGCAAGCTTGTTTGTCTGAAAATTAAAAGGTGGAATAATCTCCATTAAAGGTGCAGGAGAATGAGAGGAATTACTTTTGATTTGTCTCTGTAGATCTAAGAAGCATGGTTTCGGACACCTAATTCGAATACGATATGATACGAGTACGCCGATATAATGAAATTAGTATACGTAGGTACGTGTGTAGATATAAAAAATATAAAATTCAAAATAATTTCATTAATGTAAAAAGAAACTAAAATAGAAGCATGATAATAAAAATAAAATAAAATATTAAAAGCATTTTATCTTAATCCTTAGTTGTCCCAACTTCATTTTCTTCAACATCTCCAATAACAGATTCCCCATTATCATTAAAAATAATGCTTTCCAACTCTGACTCATCTAATAATAAATTAACAGCCTCACCCAGTCCAACACTTTAAAGTATTAAATGGGTCTCCAATAATGTCTCACAGTTTATTTTGAATAGAAATATAATTTTCTTCATAAAAAACGCAGATTGTGTATATTACTTATAAAAAACTCTAGTTTTCAATTAATTTAAAATTTTATTTTTCCATTTCCAATAAATATTATCTATTTTAATAAATAGCTGATAACAATAATAGTTATCTATTAAATAAAAATACTGTGTCTTTCTCATTATATTGCTAATGATAATTAGTTAAGTTTACAACCAATAAAACTCTACTTGATGTATCCTAATGTATCCGATATGTACTGAAAATAATTTAAAACTAAAAATAATTAAAGTTGCATATTTGATATGTATCAAAATTTTAAAAAAATATAATATAATTGTATAACACTTATCCGGTACATATAAGAGCGTATCGGAGAGTATCCAAGTTTGGATACGTATCGGATACGAGTACATAATGAGTTTACGAGAATGAAAGGAATTACTTTTGATATGTTTGTATTCGATACATATCGAAATCTTTTAGTAGATTTTGATAAAAGTTTATAAAATTTGTGGTTAAAAATTTTATAAAAGTTGTGGGGTCCTATGAAATGTAGGGTTGAAAATGAACTTAAGGAAAAACGAGTTCTAGAAAATGGGGGCCAAACAGGTTTTTCTTTAAGTGAAATGATGTGATGTTACGGGGAAGAGATAGGAATTGTTGACTAAATTCGTTCTTTTTCGTAGAGAAGACAGAACATGTCCTGGTACATTTTAGTTGCTTTTGAGAATTTGGTGGTTTTTTCTTGATTTACTTGGTGACATGAGATGACAGACTCTTCTATTCTCTTTGGACTTTGTGGGCTGTATGGACGTTCCTTCTCAGCGCTTTTTTTGAGTCCTGGTACATTTTAGTTGCTTTTGAGAATTTGGTGGTTTTTTCTTGATTTACTTGGTGACATGAGATGACAGACTCTTCTATTCTCTTTGGACTTTGTGGGCTGTATGGACGTTCCTTCTCAGCGCTTTTTTTTGAGTCTTCAATTCACTGATCATTGATATGATACTGCATCAAATCTTATGACATGAATCATAATACAAATTTTGTTGGTGCATTAGCTAAGAATATAATGTTATCTTGATCTAGTAATGAACCCATAACAAAAAGGATTCCTGTGAGTCCTAATTGCTTCTTCTGTTGCTTGTAGACAACAGCCGTGCTCGCAAACGCGTACCCCTCCAACACCTAAAGGCAGTAGCAGGAGTGGTAATAGAAGTGACAGCAGCTCCAACAGGGGGAGATACAGCAATGACGGTGGACAGGGGCGTCGGTATCGCCCCTATTAATTGTTCTCGCCCTCGACTTTGTACAACATCTTTGCCGTAGTGAATTTTAACCTTATAAATTCAAGACATTTTTGTCCAGCGTATTCAGATCCTATTTTCGTTATGGGTTTTTATGAAGTTCATAACTGATCCAAGCTTTATAAATTTAATTATGGCTACATGCAAATTTTTTTTTTTTAATTTTCAGATGGACTTGGAAAATGTTGTGGAAATGGAAAACTCCATGCACAGCTCCAAATATATTCATCATTACAATAGTCCAACCCTATCATCAGCGCTCCTACGTGCCAAGTGTATTAAACTTATTTTTAAGTTACTTATTTTGTTCAACTATAGTTTTTAAAATTGCATTTTGTTATTAATAAAATTACCCAGTTTTTTACTTCGAAGTAATTTTTCACCTTTTTAGCTAATTTGTACAAAATAAAAGCTAATACAAAGTTACTATACAGCTTTATTAAACAAAAATGTAAAGTTTCAAAACAACTAGATGCAATAATATTAACGACCATGAGGGTTTGGTGTAAACTATAAACGATGATGGATTGTTGTTTGTTTGTAAGAATGTAGCTTATTAGACTGACCAATGTCTAGCTTGGACTGATGTTCTAGAAGATTTAAAAATTATATTGTTATTTACTTATATTATTGAATAATGTTATGTTTTATGTAACCCCACTAGAAGGTTGTAACTTCAATCAGATTGCTCTAGATTGCAGTGTGTTTGGTATGAATTTTTGGGGGAAGAATTGATTTTTGAATAGTGATATGATGGGAAATGTGTGGTTGAAAAAGAAGAAAAAAGTATTGATGTGATAAAAAAATATTATTTTATTGAAAAATGTGTGGTTAAAAATGAGAATTGATTTACTGTAGAAAATGAAAATCTGTACCAAACGGCTCTAAGTGAAAGATAAACTTTTTGCTTAATATCACGATATTGCCACGTAAATTAGGATTGCAACTCCAATTGGGCTAAATAACATTAATCAATATTATTAATTTTTAAACGGTCTAATTTGATTTCGAACTGTATTTAAAACATCAAAATTTATACGGATATTGTTGAAAAATCACAAGCCCACAAGTTTCAGCTGAATGATTTCTATTTATTAAAATTATCGAACTGGCTTTAAATAGCCACTGCAAATGCTGAGAATTTAAAAGTTGCACAACCACATCTCAACAACCCTGAGACTCTGGTGAATCAACTAAGGACTTGGTCTAATTAAAAAACAAACTCAACAAACTTGACTGACTCTCTAACTCTCTTAAAACATAGGAGTTTATTTGACTGAACAAAATAGACCTTGACTAACAAGAACTTCTAACCTCTTCAACCATATCTCAACAATCCTTCCCCTAAACTGAAGCTGTCGAGAGTAGTTCAGTCTACTTCCTTTTTGGCCACAACTCCAAGCATTTTTCGAAGTCTTTCAAAGGCTTCTAGCTTCAGGGGTTTTGTTAATATGTCCGCGAGCTGCTCACTACTTCCACAAAATTCAAAACACAGGATTCTTGGCTAATTTAATTGTAGAAGTATTGTCACAAAATAAAGTAACACACTTACAATGACTATAGCCAAGATTATTAAGAACTCTCTGCATCCAGACACACTGACAAGCGCAAGCTGTAACAGCAACATACTCCGCTTCCGTAGTTGACAATGTTACAATAGGCTATTTTTGTGAAGACCAAGATACTGCTCCGCCACTCAACATGAACACAAAACCAGTTGTACTTTGAGAATCATCAACATTGCCAGCAGAATCACTATCACAATATCCCACCAAATCATCAAGCGCTTATCTTCTATAGTATATTCCCATATCGATAGTTCCTCTGACATAACACAGAACCCTTTTAGCTGCTGCCCAATGTGCTTCTTTTGGATGAGCCATAAACCGACTGATGAGACAAACTACATACATAAGATCTGGTCTAGTGGCGGTCAGATACATTAGACCGCCAACAAGTTGTTTATATTGAGTTCCATCAACCTCAGCTCCACCTCCTTCTTTTGACAATTTTGAACCAGGCACAATTGGATTTCTCACGGGATTACTGTTTGTCATTCCGAATCTGTCGAGCACTTCCTTAGCATATTTACTTTGACACAAATATATCCCTCATGCTCCTTGCTTAACCTCAACTCCCAAAAAGTATTTCATTTTTCCCAAATCCGTCATTTCAAACTTATGCATCATTGACTTCTTAAAATTCTCAATCATAACAAAATCATTTCCAGTAAAAATAAGATCGTCAACATAAAGCCTTACGATCAAAATTTTACCTTTTTCTTCAACTTTCACAAATAGTGTGTGTTCATAGCTGCATTTCTCGAAGCCTGGCTCAGCAAAGTAGCCTTTAATCTTGCTATACCATATCCTTGGTGCCTGTCGTAAGCCATAAAGTGCTTTTTTGAGTTTATAAACTTTGTCTTCCTCACCTTCTTTTATGTAACTAAGAGGCTGATCCACATAAACATCTTCACTTAATTCACCATGCAAGAGGCACTTTTAACATCAAGCTGAAATACGATCCATCCTCTTTGAGCTGCCAATGCTAGCACCATTCTATTGTGTCCCAACGAGCCATTAGAGCAAACACCTCACTAAAATCTATCCCGTGCTTTTGTGCGTAGCCCTTTGCCACCAACCGTGCTTTACACTTGCCAAACTTCCCATTTTCATCAAGCTTTGTTTTATATACCCATTTCACACCAATCTTCTTTACTCCCATAGGTGAGTCCACTAGCTCCCAAGTTTTGTTTTTCACTATGGCTGCAATTTCCACATCCATTGCTTTTCTCCATTTAAGACTCAATGCAGCCTCTTCATAACTCGTAGGATTCTCATTAGCAACAAACATAGCCAAGTTCTGTAAGTCTTCTTCTTCAGACAAACCTTCCCCGCTTTCATAGTCTCTCATCCATATTGGATGCCTTGTATCTCTTCTTTCTTGAGTTGCTTCTTCTGGTGAACTTTCACGTGTATTGCTGCTATTAGAACTTGCTTCATTACTACTAGCTTCAGCTCCATTCTGCTCTTCATCTGCTTCACCATCACCTTCATCTTCTGTTGTACTTTCTTGCTCTTCATTCTCTCCCCAAGTAAGCACTTCCAGATCAGTTTTTTTTCACTCCAATCCCAACAGCTGCTCTCATCAAACACGACATCTCTACTGGTCACTACCTTTTTTGTAATGGGATCGAAGAGCCTATAAGCCTTGGACTCTTCACTGACACCGAACATAATGACTTTGAAGCTTTTGTCTTCAAGTTTTGTTATCTTGACATCCGAAACATGCACATGGCCTATGCATCCGAACACTCAGAAATAATCAACATTGGGCTTCACACTGCTCCAACTTTCTTCTAGTGTCTTGTTCTTCACAGTTACTGTAGGACTTCTGTTAAGAACATGGACTGTCCATCTCACAGCTTCCGGCCAAAATGACTTTGGTATCTTCTTCCCTATGAGTAAGCATCGTACCATATTCATTATAGTACGATTCTTATGCTTTGCTACTCCATTTTGCTGGAGTGTGTACACTGCTGTAAGTTGCCTTTTGATGCCATGAGTAGTACAAAACTCGTTGAAATCTTTTGAGGTAAACTCACCACCTCTATATGTTCTCAAGCAACAAATATACAATCTTATCTCCTTTTCAACAAAGCTTTTAAATACTTTAAACATTGCAAAAGCCTCATTTTTTTCAACAAGAAAATACACCCATATCCTCCTACTATAGTCATCAATAAAGCTTAATATGTGCCTCTTTCCACTGTTTGAAGCTGGAGTTATAGGACCACACAGGTCAGCATGTATAAGCTGAAGCCTCTCCGAAGCTCTCCATTTGCTTTTCTTAGGTATGGCATCTCTGTGTTGTTTTCCAACCATACAGCTTGTACATACTTTGTTTATAGGCTTAAGTTGAGGTAGTCCCTTAACTAAATTCTTGTGTTGCAAGGTATAGAGATTCTTATGACTCAAATGGCCATACCTTTGATGCCACAGCTCAATGATGTCCTCTGTGGTAGTGTTGAGACAATTTGATTGTTGGGCAGCTATGATAAGACCCCTTGTCTTGTGATAGACTTTGCAAGCTCCATCTTGAATCAGAATAGCTAGGCTTTTCTCCTGTAGTTGACCTATGCTAAGCAAATTATTCTTCAATTCAGGAATATAATAGACATCAGACACTACCTACTTGACATCTCCAATTTGTAGCTTGACACTGCCCTTTCCCATCACAGCCATTCTCATGTTGTTTCCAAGCTTCACAGAGTGCCTGTAATCTTTATCGAATTTAGTGAACCACTGTTTGTTCCCTGTCAAATGGTTGTTGCAGCCTGAATCAAGGAACCACACCCCTTCTCTACTTGATTTGTTCTCTTCCACAAAAGCCATTAGAAGCACTTCTTCATCTCCATCTATCTCGTTATAATTGGCAGCCTTTTCCCACTTTGGACATTCATACTGAAAGTCCCCAACTGATGGCACTTAAAACACTCAATGATTGCTCTATTCAGACCTTTACCTCTGCCTCTCATAACTCCACTGCCTCTAAAACCTCATCGTGCTCTCCCTCGTCCTCCTGTTCTGTCCTCACATGACACCTTTAGTGCTTGCTCATCTCCTCCAACCTTTCTGAATTTTTGTTCGTGTACAAGCAATGAACTCTGCAATTGATAAACAGTGAGACACTCAATATCCTTTGATTCTTCAATTGAGCACACGATGTAGTTGAATCTTTCTGTGAGTATACGCAGAATCTTCTCAACAATCTTTACATCTGGCATGTCTTCTCCACAGTTTCTCATATCATTAGCTACAACCATTACTCTGCCAAAGTAGTCAATCACTGATTCTCCGAGCTTCATCTCCATCAATTCAAAGTCTTTGCGAAGAATTTGGAGTTGAGCCCTTTGAACCCTATTATTGCCTTGATATTTGACCTTCACCGAGTCCCACGGCTGCTTGGCAGTTTCTTTCTGAGTAATGGTCTTCAAAATGGACTTGTTGATGGACTGTAGAAGATAGTTCTTAGCCTTCAAGTCTTTCAATCTCAATTCTTCTAGAGTTTTGGTCTGGTTCGCTATCAACACAGTTATGGAGGAATGCTCTGTGTATCCCGGATCTATGATGCTCCAATACTCTTTCGATCTGAGGAGGTTCTCCATGAGCATACTCCAGTAATCATAGTCACTGTCAAATTTGGGAATGCTTAGCAAATTCTATCCTTCATTGGCCATCTTCTCAGAGTTGTCTTCTTCACACACTGTCTCGCACTTTTCTTCTTCACACACACTCTCTCTATTTTCGCTTAAATTCTCATAGTATTTCTTTCACTCTCACACATACAGACTGTTTAATCTCTCTCACACTCAGGCCCTTTTCGGAGCTCTGATACCAGAATGTTGAAAAATCACAAGCCCACAAGTTTCAGTTGAATGATTTCTATTTATTAACATCATCGAACTGGCTTTAAATAGCCACTGCAAATGCTCAAAATTTAAAAGTTGCACAACCACATCTCAACAACCCTGAGACTGTGGTGAATCAACTAAGGACTCGATCTAATTAAAAAACAAACTCAACAAATTTGACTGACTCTCTAACTCTCCTAAAACATAGGAGTTTATTTGACTGAACAAAACAGACCTTGACTAACAAGAACTTCTAACCTCTTCAACCATATCTCAACAGATATAGCAATTCGTTTTTAACTATCTGACTTATACCAAAACCATTTTGTTGAAAGGTCCACGGGGAATCAAATTGACGGTTTGGAAAAAAGACAAATTTGGTTTGATTTTTTCAGTTCAAAGTAGAATGGGGTGAGGGGGGGAAACAAAAAAATGACCAAATTTGATAAAAATAAAAATAAACAAATAAAACTGATATTTATTTAGATAAAATCAATATTAAAAGAAAATTGAAAAGGGTATATGACTGAGAGAAAGGAAAAGACTACTCCTTTGTCCTACTGTACCAAAAAGTGGCTTAATTCTTATTCGGTTCTGGAGAATGCAGTTCTTCTCGGCAGCAACGGTAGAAGAGTAGGCCGAATCCCAAATAGCGGCCTATTCTCTGAACACAAATCATCCATAGCTGTGAATTGCTTTTATTCTCTGGTAATTCTTTTGTTTTTTCCATTGATAATCACTCTGTAGCTGCATTTCTTGCTCAAGCTTAATGGTTTGAATGTGGTTTTTATTTTTATTTATTTATTTTGTGTCCAGGAGTATCTTTTCTCGTTTATTTACCTTTATCATTTTGATGTTTAGTTTTCTTTTATGTTGTTTGTAAGAATCAAAGAAAGTGTTATATTAGGAGAAAAAGAACATTTCCAGATTTTTTCTTGAGGAATTTGTTTAAGAAGGACCAAATTGGGAGAATATGAAAAACCCTCACCGAATGGCCTGCTTTTAGTTCTTGTTCCCAAACCACTGTGATGTATTTCTTTGTCAGCCACCCCACCCTTCTTCATCGTTTCTGCATTTCTGCGCGCAGAAGAAGATGATTTGGTGTCAAGGGTTTTTACTAGGGATAAATTGAACATTTGGGGTACTAGAATAATTAAAATAATAATAACAAATTAAGTAGTGAACATTTTTCACCTTGACTGTTATAAGAGGGTTATTTTGCTTTTTTCTGCGAGGAGGAAAATTTCGGGAAGCTAAAATGTATAGAAATCATTTGGCTTGAAAAAACCATATTCACTTAGAATCTCTCTCTCTCTCTCTCTAATAGTGCGGATAACGAAGAGGGCCGCTGGATGAGCTGCTAGAAATTTGGAATCTTTGGTTGAAAAAATTCTTATTGGTTTAACGGCATACTAGGGCCTACTCAGGGGCGGACTCAAAGGGGGTGGTCCGGGGGGTCACGTGACCCCCCAACTTTTGAGAATTTTTTTTTTATTGATAAAGTCATGTTTGGTATCGATTGAAATCTAAATTTTAATCTAAATCAAAGTTAACAATTAATTTTAGGCCTGTTTAGGAGGGATCAAATTTTTGTACAGTAAATCAATTTTCATTTTCAACCACACATTTTTCAATAAAATAATATTTTTTATCACATCAATAATTTTTTCTTTTTTTTCAACCACACATTTCCCATCATATCACTATTCAAAATCAATTCTTCCCCCAAAAATCCCTCCCAAACAAGCTCTAAATATTTCTTCACAGGTAAGTTAAAAATTCAAAACATGTTTCACAGCAAGTCCCTTCAAACAGGGGCGGACCGTGCCCCCAACTTTTGAGTTTATATATATATAATCATGTTTGGTATCGATTGAAATATAAATTTTAATCTAAATCAAAGTTAACAATTAATTTTAATAATATATTTCATGGAATCCATAACTATTTAACTTTTATCAAAATTTACTGAAAAATTGATTTTAATCACCACCGAACAGGGTTAAAATCACAATAAATTTGAATTTTTCTTTTTTCTCTTGCTCTCTTTTATTATTTTCCTTGTGCCTTTTAAAAAAATCTTAATCCTTCTAATTTTTTAAAATTTGTATATAATTTCTTTGCAAATTATCACATTTACTACAAAATTTCACTTTCCAATCAAATTTTCAAGTAATTAGAACTTAAATTTGCATTTTCTCCCATCAAACTGTGTTGATAGAATGTGTTCAAATTTATTATATCCAATTTGACTTATATTTAACGAATTGTATTTATTTGATTGATTATTTTTTTTAATTGTAAATCTGCACTGTCTCAAGTCAGGTATGAATCATTCAAAAATCAAGAACAAAGTATTCGATTTGTACAATATTTGGTTGTGCCCCCCCATTCTAAAATGTCTGCATCCACCCTTGGGCCTGCGTGAAAGCGAGATTTTTCTCACTATTTGGGATGTACACGAGGCATACTTCCCAAAAAAGCTAGAAAAATCTGGCTTTGGTTCAAACATGGACACAATCCAATAGAATGTTTTTCTCCTCATTTATGCGCTATGACTTCTTTCAAGTTGCTGTTCAGTAATAGGATTGAAATGGTTGTTATGGTAAACGACCACAGATATAATAGGTGTTGAAAAGAGAAGGTAAAGGCTAAAATTAATGCAGATGGAAGCTGGTCAGGTGGGAGTTGATGGTAATGCTGAGAAATTAATGGGAGCATCTCATGGCCTCGTCAACCCGGCAAGCCTGCCTGCGCAAGTAGAACATTTTGCCAGTCCTAGATGTGACTCCACACTGCCATTTCCTGCAAATAAGGGGAAGAGCAAGTCCAACCATCAGGGTTCACAGGAGAGCAATACACCTCCAAGTAATAGCCTCTCTTAATTAATTATAACCTTTGTTACAAAATTTCTCTTTGGGATTTCATTGGTAGCTTTTGATGTTTCTTATCTATTGTGTATCAGAATTTTCGATCTCTTAGTTCTGTCTAACTTGTGATTTATAGATTTTTGTCTCCACAGCCTACAAATTGATCTAAGCCTTGTACTTATATTGTATGAGAGATTGAGGCAGGATTCTATAATATAAGAGCAAACCCATTTATAGATTTAATGTCCTTATATCTAGTTAATGTGAAAATTTTCCCCGAAGAAAGTGGAGACCGTTCGTTTAGGCTTTTGTAAGTGCTCGCGTTAGTTCTTTTCAAGCCGTATCAATTGGGGACATAATAGTACCTCCCGACGAATGCAAGCAAGCAATCTTGAGAGGTCGATAAACAAATTTAGCATACGTTTGTCTCTCATTCTTTCAAAACTCTTTTTTCTCCACTCATTTTTCAAACACACATTAACATAATAAAATATTTTACACGTAAATCTAAAATTTTTCCTTATTTTTTAACCACGCATTTTCTAAAAAATTACAGTTCAAAACAATGTTTTTCCCAAAAAAAAAAAAAGCCACCAAACAGAGGATTTGTAAGAACCAGTAACTAGCAGATGATCATACATAGGTCTCATATCTGCATAGACAATATATGCCTTTATCTGGGTATGCGCAGTGAAATCTATGAAGCACCTAAGCCTGTGTCCAAGACGAATTGGACACTGGCACGCTGTTCACTATGGAAAGTGCATTGACAGTGAAACCCCCTGGTCCCTAATTAAAACCAAGTGCATGATTGGGTGGAGTAAATGGACTTGAAGTGAAAACTAACACCCTGTTTGAGCCCCCTTTTTTTTTTTTGTGAAAATATATTTTGAAATAGTAGATTGATGGAGAATGTGTGGTTTAAAAAAAAAAGGATAAGTTTTGGCGTGTAATATTATTTTATTGAAGAATATGTGAATGAAAATAAGAGAGAAAAATATATTTTAAAAAAATAGGTATCAAACGAGGGCTAAATTCAATACTATGAAGGAATTGCTAGAAAGGGGAAACAGGTTTTGAGCATGGGAAACTTTTTATAGGTCTTGCAATGAACATTAAAATTGAATTAACTGGAAACGTAAGGGGATGTTCTCTTTATGTTTCAGTTTTGTATTTTGAATTTTGAATTCATTTTGGTGTGTGTAGAGGGAAATGAACAACCGATACTTTGAAAACCAAATACGGACCACAGAGCAATTTAGAGAATTTTTTTATCTGACTTTATATACTTGGTTTAATGCAGCGACTAGCAATCCTATAGAGGGGCTGCCTAACTTTTTATCTTTTCTTTCTTATTTGAACTGATAATACACTTCCTATGTATTATCGTTTGATTAATAAAATTTTACGATTATCTATCAAAAAAGAAGTTTTGAATTCATTTTGGGTTTTGTGTTTTGAGTGTTCATTTGAGATTGTTGAAAATGTATTCTTTTTGGTAATTTGAAAAANGCTATTAAGAAAATAATTTTATGTTTACATCATTTTTCAGTTTAACGTGTCGGTGATGTATTGTGTCGGTACTTTTGTGAAAATTATGTGCCAATGTGTTCATGTTGTGTTGCATCATGTCCGTATTTCCTTGGTTGATATTATTTAGCTAGATGGATGAAGAGTTTAATCATATTTTTGAGCAGTGTGTTTGCGCGAGACATTTTTTTGGTGTGTGTGGGTGTGGGGGCGGGGAGAATGGGAGAGGGAGGGTGTATTAGATGAATTTCTCTCGTCTATTTTTTGTTATTTCCAAATTGACTTCTTGCAACATTGAGTTAAAGCATTTTATGCTGATGTCATCGATATATTCTTCGGCGTGCAATTATTTATTCTGAAATAGAGTATTAATTTTGAAGATGGTATCAGATTATTTATTTGGCTTCAAAGATAATGGTCACATGAATTTCTTATAATCCAGGTTGACATAATTATCAATGCATTGCAGGTGTCTCAAATTTTTATGTCTTCAAGAGTCGCTTGCAAGAGTATGCTCAGAGAGCAGGGATTCCAACTCCTGTTTATGAGACTATCAAGGAAGGCCCTTCTCATGAGCCTTCCTTTAGATCAACAGTTATTGTAAACAATGTTAGATATGATTCTCTACCAGGATTTTTTAATCGCAAGGCAGCAGAGCAGTCAGCTGCTGAAGTAGCTCTCATGGAACTAGCCAACTCAGTGGACACAAAATTTGGCATCACTCAACCAGTGGTAATTATATTGGAGGAAATAACTCTATTTGTTCATTATTTATTTGAGCTAAACTATTGACATTTTTAGCATACTATCTCGATTCTGTACTCAGCTTAATTCATTCATAGAAGAATTAGTTCCTATTGAAATCGGGAAAATAGAAACTAAGGGGGAAAGAACGGTTTTGGGTTCTGGAGTTGCATTCTTCCTTTCAATAGTTGAATAATTTGAGTTAGACAAGGAGGAATATTGAGATTAATTTGGTAAGTTTTATGAACCACCTATTGTCTTGAGAATGACCCTGCGGATTATCAAAATGAAATTTTTTGAAGTTTGAGGAGTCTTGTGAATTATGATTGTTAATTTTACAAGTATATTTATGTTTTTCGTATGTGAATAGTGCTCTAAGTTGTGAAAGGATATGCACTTTTTGTGGGCAGTTGACCTTAAACGAGGTAAATGAATCACAGAAATAGGTTTTCTTGACTTGCAGAAGTCCCTGTCCCCATTTTTCTTGATAAGCTTGTACTTCTTCTGATGGCCACCAAGGATCCAACTTTTGTGCGAGGCAAACCATTGACATACAATTTTGATACATAGTTGCCGATTTTTGTCGCTAATCCCAAAAAAAAAAAAATGTCATCACCATCAACCTTTGGTTCTTGTTATTTCTGTGAATTCCATCTAGCTCCCGTCTCTTTTTCCCCTCGTTGTAAGACCCAAATGCATAAAGCCATGGGAAGACCACATGGACCCCACAAAAAATTTTGACTTCCTTTTTTTTTCCCCAAAAATTATGCAGTTTTTTTTTTTTTAATAGTGTAAGTTTTTTGCTTGCGTTCAATGAGTGTCCCTTTTGTTAGTTTATCTAATTATCTGTTTGTTAGGAAAATGAATTATTTAGCTTTGGATTTAGAAATTCTTCAAATATGAATTTAGTGGTGAAGAAATAGAGAGAAGGGTTTCAAATATAGAAGAATCTTTACAATTTCTAAATTTTTTTTGGACATTTTGGAGAAGTAAAAATCACGAGCAAAAGTGGAGTTTTCAAGTACGATCACAGTTTACGTGTTGAATCCTTACAACTTTTGGAGGTCCAATGTTCGATTTTGTTCGTCGTATATAATACTTTATTGAAATTAATAAGTGGGTTATTTTATCTTTTTTTTCCTGTACTATATATTTGATTTGTATGATTTTGACGGTTGAATGTGATTGGAAAGATGGGTGTGTCATTGAAATTAGTATTTTAGATGGAGGATTTTTTGGACTTCAAGATTTGGACAATTTCGAAGTTTAATGAAATGTGGCCTCTTAGGCATAATTGGGTTTGTTCTTTGGCTAACAATGTGTTAAAATTTGGATGTTTAAATTAACGAATTATTGTTCACAAATTTCAATTTCAGTTTCCCATAAAACCCTTGACTTCTTGTGAAGTATGAAAATGCGTAGGCTACAATTGTAGTAGTGCGTTGACTTATTTTCATTAATGATATGTTGTTTCAAAAAAAATATATTTCATTTTAATTTTTGACCTCACAATAAAAAAAAGTGTGGGTTCGCCCCTGCATAAAGCGTGTGTTGCATGTTCTCCTTTTGCTTTACTTACTTGACAAACGTTTTGGCATAACTTAGGACATCCCCTACAAAGATAACCATAGAGACCTAAATATGCTGACAGGTACCAAAAGTTAAAAATCATTTGGTTTGAATTTTAGGAAATGACTAGATTCCAATGTTAAATTATTATTTCAAATGCATTTGCTCTATGAACCAAGCTCTATGAACCAAATAACCTTAACAGCTGATGTGCCTTTGTTCTTGTCAAATTGGCTGTGCCAATCTGCAATAACATAAATTTTGTTGTCTTTATTGTTAATGTTCCTAAATGAATTGCTGGACACATTTTTTACTTGAACGAATCGGTTCTTAGTAGAAGCTGTCTATAAAATTATTTAAAATGCATAAATGAAAATTGAAACATAAATAAAATTGAACTATGATTTCCTTCAAAATTTCCTGTTTCAATTATTTCCCTCTTTAGAATCTATTGTACTTTCAAGGATATAAACTGGTTGCTCTCTTTGCATTCTGATGTTACTCGGAAGTTTGTGCCTCTGATAAGTTTTAGGGTTCATAATAAAGCTGGGGATATCTATTTATCTATTATATTTGGTCTTGCGCGTTCTGCGGGGGAAACCTAATGTAAATAAGTGTTTTGTAAATGATTAATTTTCTAAAAAGAAAAGACCTATTAACAAAGCATCTTTGTTTAATGAGTTCCTTTTGATAGTTCTTTCTTGTTTTTGATTTTTGTATTTGTCTTGGAACTGTTTGACCTTGACCTTTGGGTTTGTATTTCAGCATGAAACAGGTTTGTGCAAGAACTGGGTGCAAGAATATGCTCAAAAAATGAACCTCGCCGTCCCAATATACGAGTGCCACAAGGACGAGAGACAAGGCAGTACGTTCACATTTTATTGTACCCTCGAAATTGGGGGCATCAAGTATATAGGAGGATCAGCAAACACAAAGAAGGAAGCTGAGATTAAAGCTGCGAGAACTGCTTTATTAGCCGTTCAGTCTGCTGCGTCTGGCTCTGAAGATCAAGTTGGGAAATCTGTTTACACTGTTCTTCCATGCAAAAAGAAGGCAACAGATCTTGGAATCAGCACCCAGGAGACTGCAGCAGCCCTCAAACCAGTGAAAAGTCGTTTAAAAAAGCAGCAGCGGAAGAAGAGGCGTGGTGTGAAGTGGGGTAAATGTGCTAGAGGACAGATGGCAGGTGGTATGGAGGCAAAAATGAATGGTCCAGAAAGAGTAGAAATGGCTTCAAGTGATTCTATCAGCTCTGAAAGTAAGATGGCTAATAATTTGGAGGTTCGTATGGATGGTCAAGATGGAGAGGAAATAAACTTAACTGATGCTGGACCTAAACCAACTGTAATAGCGGCAAATACATGCGATGGGGGATCTTCTAATGGAAATCCGGAAAATGGTTTATCAACATAGAGCGACTTGGGATTGACATATCTAGAGTATCCAATAGACTTGTGATGCAGCTCATCACTCAGCAGACTGAAGAGGCGGATTTAATGCTTTGGTTAAGGAACTGAAACGTGGTTTGGAACACTAATGAAGGCTTTTGCACCATCATTAGTTGTTGTAGATGACCGGCTTAAACTAGGTTATTCAGTTGGATAGCCTTATGACTGGGACAATATTGCTAGCGACTATAGAACATGAGGCCTAGCATGGATGAGTAAATATACTTGCATGCTGCATTTTCTGGTTTGAATTTAAATTAATATTGACTGGAAGCAAGTTCAGTGCAAGTATGTTACAGTTCTTGTCTCCTCTTAGGCCTCGGCCCGAGATCTTGATCTCTCACTTTAGCAAGGAGCCTCACTCCACTCTAATTCATTTGTCCTAATTATTGTCAAAGTTCCAAGACCTTCAAGAGCCCAATCATATCTGGTCCTATTGATTTTCATTCCTTGAATAAAGTACACTTTTCATTCTTAATGTGTAATGTTAAGCATCATTCTCTCCATCTGTTTTCTGACTTGAGCACCGGACAAGGTACGGGAACAAATCTGCCAATTTTTTTTTTGCAGGAAATTCGAAGTCCTCTTCGTGCTCATCCCTTGTCTTTTCAACTCAAGATCGAGTATCTTCAGTTACGATTTTTGGTAGCATCAATTATGAACCCAACTTGTTCAGTTGAACTGAACACGAAATTAGAATATACAACAAAATTTATCAGAATCGAGAGAAAAAAATATTTACTAAACTGTAGGAGACTGTTGTGCTGGGTATGAGCACTTTCAAAATGGCTGGTACGACATCTACGCCAAGCCATTTTTTTTGCTGCGAGATTTAAGTCGCGCTTGACCTTAATGAAACTTGGAACACATTGTATGCGACGGACTCAATGACAATCTCGCCTTGTACTCGGACTTCTCTATATGATTTTCCTCAACTGGTCTTTGTATTAAGAACTACTAGCAATACACATTCTTAAACGCAATGAATCCTTCATATGCTTGAAGCCACGACAGTGTTCTAAAAGACGTAATGCGTGACGATATGTGGAGGTCAAGTTATGGACTAAGCGAAAACGTAAAAAAACGTTTTTTAAATTTAATATTATTTTAATTTTTAATCAATCAAAAAATAATAATATCAAACATCTAAACCAAATTTATAGAAACTATATACATTTTTTCAAAAGTTTTCAACAAAAATATAAATTTCAAATGTAAATCAACATTTAGGTTTTAACTTTCAAAACAATAAAAAATATATTTAAAAAATTCAAAAAATATATTAGCGGTCAACGACAATTAGGCGCCAAGCACTTGGCTTGACGTTTTCGCCGCACATTGATGACGTCTAGACACGCATTTTAGAACACTAAGCCCCGAGGTACAGAAGAACAGATGTCACTAAAAGAAGTTGCACTGAACAATCATAACCGATGCACAAACCTTGCAGAAAGACGTACAAATTACTAGTCGAAACTTATCCTATAGGAAAACAGAGGAATGAATTGCAAGAAATTCTAGAAGAGATCACTCTCTTTGTCGGTGTGATCTGAAGTTGGATAAGAATACACAGCATCATGTTTTGAAAGAGAGACTAACATGCAGCCATACAAGAAACCTCGTCGAAATTGAACGAAAATATGAAATATCGGACAGTCATTTCTATACAACAAGACGAGACATACAACATAATTCTGAAACGTTTTGAGATGAGGCAAGCAACAGGCGATATGCTCCACTTGAGGCTCAACAATTTATTGAAAATCACACTAAACCTCCTTTTATTTATAATTTGTGAGCAGCTGCGTCACCTCAAGTTTATACAAGTCAAATGATTTCTTGACAATACATACATACCTCATTTTCAGGCAATCAAAATCATTATAATAGAAGAAAATAAAAATAAATTACGCAAATAATGAAGCAACAGTAAACTTGCTATTCCTGATAAAAATATTGAGGGTACAGTAAGCAAAAATCAATCCCATCTCAGTAGAAAAACAAAACAATCACTATGATGTCTGAACGAAGTATCGAGACCATAGACAACCAAAAACTTGCTATTACAGGGAAATATTCCATTGCTTTAGCTCCACACTACTATCCCTAAAACCGGATCAACAGAAACAGAATATTATCTCCTTAAAAGATGCGCTGAGGCTTCCCCATTGTACTTTTTAAGTACAAGCACCTCACCTGATTTTACAAACAAAACAGTTAAAATGTCAAATAACTTTTATTGTTGCACATGCAACTTTTATGAAATATATTTGAATTCACAAACAACAAAAGCAACCAACAAAACAAAAAACACATGATACCATCTTGGCAACATTGATGCATTCAACTATTGAAGTGACCCATAAATACTATTATTGCACCAAGTTAAACCAGAACACAGTACGAAAGATGCAATTTATGACAGATGAACAGATTCGTAGCATTCCCAACCAATTCTATTAAGTTACAAATTTACCAAAAATTCAATTTGAAGACGTACTTTTTGACAAGACTTCTATCTAGAAATATTTAAAGGGCATCATGTAACTTACGATGTGACAAGGATATGTTAGTACTGTGAGCTGAATACTAATTATATGTATACACCACAGAGAAAAAGTATGAAACGTGCACAACCAATAAACAAACTATACGCTCAACCTTCGGAAATATAGAAAATAGATATAAATGGACTCACATTCTGCCAGTTTTTCTTCAACAGCGAAACTAGAAAGTTGACACTCATTTGCACATTCTGAAAGATCTGCTTCTCCTCCATAGCACAGTTTCCAACAGCAACTCCCATGCAAAGCACCTTCTTCAGTTGGAATTTCACTGTGGCCTTGGTTTCATTGACCTTAGATTCAAGAGATTCCTGGTGACTAACGAGAGTTGGGAACTTACCTGTGCCAAAATATAAGTCATTCGTTGAAAAATGGAAACCTAATCTATTCTAATATCACAATTATTGTCATAAAGCAAGAAAGGTTAGGGTTGCATTTGCTCCATGACGTGCAACAATAATGTTTACAAGACAACCTCAAAGTACACAAGGTTATCAATGTGAACAAATTAGCTCAATTGAGCACTATAATCCAACTTTTTTTCCCTCCAGTCAACCCAATAATGAAATTGAGAAAATTAGCTACATTCACATAGCTGTACATGAAACCTGCAGTTCTCAGTCAGAATCACCATCTCATGTTCCAATTTAACGTGTTTTCTACAACAAAACAGACCATAATATGTGTTAACTCATCAAGTACACATGCCTGCCTTGTTAAGACCAGGTCCTAAGAGACGGGGAATCTGCTTGATAACAGCTTCGGAGGCTAAGAAAGCATGATATCTTTTAGCAAGCTTCTTAACCAGTTTCTTGTTTTTGTTCAACTTCTTTAAAGCCTCTACATCCATGGATTCAAGACCAATTTTTTCGGCCTGCAGATATAATGGAAGATAAAATGAATGAAATATGCACCACTAAGAAAGATGAACAACAATTTCAGAGTGAGAAGTAGAAACAGCACAATTGACAATGTTGTGTGATGAAACCACGTGGATCATATGCAAGGAAAATTTCCTCACACAGGCTTCTCATGTGGACCTGCGACTGAATAACTATTTGGACTGCACATATCAACACCATATCCGGTATGACTTTTAAATTTTACCTAAAAGAACTTAGTTCATGAATCCAGTGGTCTAATGCACATTTTGCACTGGTGCACATTATGGTTTCCAGAAAAAGTAGATGAAAAAAGGAATTGAGTCTCTAGAATAAAACACTGCAAAAATGTTGCCATTTTTGGTAATAAATACACGCCAATAGTCATACAAATGAAATAAGAAATAACAACCAAATCAAAACCATGTGGTCCATGACTGTTTTTTTTCAGCACAGATTTGACTAATATGTAGTTGCATATTGCTCGTTACTATTTCTTACACTGCTAACAGAAAATGCAGCTATACCTCCTCAACATGCTGAGCATCACCAAGCATGCAAATCTTCATCTTGGGACGAGGAATGTGAGGCAACTTCACGGAGCCACTAAAACGTTTATCCTTCTGTGGATCATAGTTTTTCAGCCCAATCTGGAGCTCAATTGTCTCAACAAAGTTACGCTTCTTCTCCTTGACATCAGTGGTGATTACTGAGATAGCTTCCCGAAGGGCCTCACTTTGCAGCTTACTGCAAAATGAATCATAATAGATCAGCGCAACACAATAACATGCATCTATAGTAAAACATTTATCTATTTCCTGTAAGTACTATGCACATCTTATACATTCATTCGCCTCAATAAACTTATTCAGATAACCAATGAATATAAAGAAATGAAACCAAATTAAAAGAAACAGCAAGTTAAAAGCCCTTTTTATTATTATTATATACTTAAATGGATAAATTGAGAAAATTCAAATTAAAACCAGAATCCAGAAAAGCAAAGCAAATGTAAAGGTTATCGTAAAATAAATAAGATAAATAATTTTTTTTCTTCTTACCTCATGGCCGGAGATTTTTTTTTCTTCCCGCTTCACTTGTGTTCATCAACAAACAACCCAATAAGAAAAGACAGCATTATAATAACCACGTCAATGAATACATACACAAAATAGATAAACACAGATTAAGCATAAGAACAAGAAGAATATAGGAAAGTCACAGATAGAGAAAATAAGAAGAGAACCTGTGTCGGGGTTTGGAAGACGGTCGACTACTGATGGTGAAGATTACCCTTAAATGCGAAAAACCCTAGAATGTGAGGAGGGCTTGGATCCACAATTTGGGCCGGCTTTATTTGGGTCATAATTGGGTCAGGTCGGGTATTTCTTCCTTTATTGTCAATCTCGAACTTGTTTAGTTGCCCTTTGTTCTCAAACTTTAATATTTTGGAAAATATACGTTGGGATCCTCATCCTTTGGAAAGTAGAACAGTTGGATTCCTATTCAATTTTTTGAAA